CTAAAAATCACTATTCATAATTTCTAAAAGAGATTATGTTTTCGTTTATAACCTCTCATTGCCACTGGCAGTGATGCAACGAAACACACTAATTGCACCAATCAACAATTAAATTGGCCTGAACAGCTGATTAGTTGAATTTTGATTTTGAATCATTACAATTTTACTTCTCCTCTCTCAAACCTTGAACCTCATTGGTCAGTTACCCGTGTTGTCATGAGTAAAACTATGCTGTTATGAAAGTAAACAATGCTGTTATGAGATACTTTTCAATTCTAAGAACTGTACTGAAACGGCTACTTTAAAAAAACGGTCGTAGGTAAAGTATACAATGTAGGAGGTTGCTGGTTTTACACTATTTCAAAGGTTAATGATTTTTTACATATACAGTAGTCACAACACTGTTTCTATCATCTCTAATACGCCCCGGGTTTTCTGTAAAAGCCGGTTTTGCAACGAAATAAAAAACGGCTCCGAGAGCTTAAGAAACATTTCAAAGCCTAATAACAAAATATCTTATTATTAGTGATACCCGACGATGGTAATAACCGAGGTGCCTGAAGACAAATATTGGTCCCATCGGTTCTTAAGAAAAGTGCCTTAAGAACAGACGGTTAAATGTTAGTACCGCCGGTATCAGTATACTTCACTAACACCACGAAATATTCTGTGCTAACACGAACCACGGGCCGCCGATGACCGCCGCGGCCGCGGCATCGGACGTCGGACGCGGCAATCGTTACACCAAATTTCCCACGACCGCGGGTGTTCCAGGCGCCATATGACGTGAAAAGAGAACCAACGGCAATGGATGAACTCACAAATAAATATGGCCTATTTTGGTAGTGATTACTAAAGGCCTAAAGAAAACAGTCTAATAAAAATATTCGTACAACAATTCACAGGCTTTTGTCCTGTTATCAAAATTTACACACTGTCCCTGGCAATTATAAGAATTTTACTATATAATATCTAAATAAAATTAGAGTTTTGTCTGTACATTGCTCAGAATTATATATTTTTTTGTTACTTTTACGTTTTAAGTATGTTTTATCTATGGTTTTATACATTAAAGAAGCCGAAACAAGTCTTGTATCAATTATTTCTGTCTGTCTGTCACGGCCCAGAAGGCATTTTACGCGGCCTTCTCCTGAAAAACGAGCATCGATCGGAATTCAAATAATCTTTTGTATTCACTGGATTGGCGAGTGTCTTTAGCCATTAAAATATGACCTCACCTGTTTTTAAATAAAATAACGGACTAAATAAAATAATTTTTCAAGTTTTCTCTGTTTACCACATAGGCCTACGTTATTTTAGGATGGCATACTTTGCTTATTTTAAGATATGGTCTTATCATTTGGGGAAATGGTATAGGCATTAATAGAGTTTTAATCAAGCAGAAAATTATTAGATTATTGGCAAATGAATCAAAGTCAGAACACTGCAGACCTTTGTTTTTACAAACTGGTATTTTAACTGTGATAAATCTGTTTGAAGTCATTAGAAATTTAAGAAAAAATATTGATAATTTTAGATTTAGATGTGATGTTCATGATTATAATACTAGATTTAGGGACAAAATAGATATTACTAGATGTAAGTTAGGTAAGTTAAGGCACAAAAATACCATGATTATTTGGCTGTGATAGTATACAATAAATTACCAACTTGCCTAGTCAATTTAAAGTCTGATAAAATGTTTCTAACTAAATTTTATAAATGGCTACAGGAAAATCCCATACTCGGTAGAGGAATACTTTGAGCAAGAAATTGTGATAGTTTAGGCTTGTTTTGTTATTTTGTTCTGAAATGTTTATTAATTGTTTTGTCTTTAAATTATTTATGATTCATGTTTTTTTAATAGTCCTTAAGCCAATACCACACTGTACCTGACTCGCCATATAATTTCTTATTTTATGTAGCTAACTTATTAGGCCTATTTTAAAATTGACAAGACCTATTGTATTTTGTATTTACTTAACGGTCAATAAAATGTCTTATTGTCTTATGAAATACTCATCTGTTTGGAGAATACGACATCCATGAAGTAACGAACAGATGTTTGGATAAAGATTATTTTTTCTATATGTCACTGGATATGTTTACATTAAACCTTGTTTACAAATACTCAAATTCAAATACTGCAAAATTATATTACCCTAATTTAATTTGGCCCTGCAACCATGTAAGAAAATCCAAAACCAAGTGAGATTAAAAACGTTGTGCCTTACATAACGGATTTTATTAATCACAAGTGAATCTATAATGTGTAACTGTAAATTAAATTTCTAGGCATCATTCAGGTCGTTAACCGGAGATTCTGTGTGTGTTGTCAAATTGTACTTGAGTTTTGATAACCGGGAAACAGACCCTTAAACAGTGCTGTATACGGAGTTTTGCCTGCATATCTGGAAAAATGCACATTAATACGCAAACCAACTGCTGTTCGAAGAAGGTTTTTTTTACTGACTACATGGTCCCGTCCATAGAACGAGTAGACAGCTAGTAATTATTAATTAATAAAACTGTAATAATTAAAACTATATATAGGCCCTAATATTTTAATTAAATCACCAAGTTCTCCATTTGACTTGGTTTTTGATTTGCTTATCTACAACAGGGATTGTCAAAAAATGTACTGACATCAAAACTACAGTTTAGTAGGTAGGCACAGAAAATTTCCACTCATAATTAACTGCTCCCTATTTTAAAATTGCATTTCTTCACAAATACACCCATAAGTAAGTCACAAAGATATAACATTTTTTATGAAAGGTTTAAAAAAATGCTTGTAGTCAAAATATTTAAAACAACATAGGCTACCTAAATATATGTCAAATGAAAAATGACACTGATTGAAGCTCCCTTTTAAAGAGTGAGTACTAGTGTACAGGCCTACTTAGTGAGGTGCCGAAAGTACTGTGTGGTACCAAGTAGAGCCGAGAATAGATTTTTGTGAGAAACTGGCACTGGTAGGTACGGTACCTGTTCCAACATATCACTATAACTATTAAATCTATAATTTATAAAGCTAATAAGGATCACAAACCTCTTAAAAAACTGTAAGCCGCACACCAATCAACCGCATACTTTAACTAAAAAGGTCTTTATATGAAACTTCTCCGAAAAATATCAAGTTTACCAGTAAAGCCCTCTCCTATAATAGGCCTATTTTGCTAAAAAACACATTTTATTACCCTCCCTGTCACAGCAAATCTAAGTAGTATACTCATTAAACCTGATGTTATTTAAATAGATTTAAGTGAAAATCATGGTAGGGAAAATCTACGCATTCTGATGGAAAGAATATATTAATAAGCAAGCATGTTTCTTTAAAACCTTTTTTCTCAGCTCGTGTGCATGGCAGGGAAAATCTACGCGTACTGATGGAAAGAATATATTAATAGGCAAGCATGTTTCTTTAAAACCTTTTTTCTCAGCTCGTGTGCATGGCAGGGAAAATCTACGCGTACTGATGGAAAGATATTTTCCTGTAGATGTGCAGAATCCCTTTATAAATTAAAAAAGGCTTGAAAATAAGCACAAAAAATGGATTTTAAATTTTAAAAACATGGGCCTTATGGGTTGCCATGCTAGTGACAAAATAACAATGAAATACAAACAGAATATCAAAACAAATGGAAGAAATTCCAATCACATGTTTTATTTACAGTGCGGGGTGGAAATATAGATATCTGTAAAATACATATTTTTGGTAGGGTTTTCGACAGTTGGATGACCTCTAACTTAGTATAAAGGTAGGCCTAACTTACCTATTGGTTTGTTTAGGCCTACTTTTCGTTATACATTTGATCCTTATTATACGGTTGGGATATGTTTAAATTACGATAAAATTATTAGTTTTGATCCTGCCACACAGTTTAATACAAATACAAAAGAGATTTTCATTAAAATAAGCATTAAGTAAGCTACGACCAAAATGTCTCTGTAGGCTACAATTTGCGTGATAAGAGTATGTAACTGTTGTTTTTTTACAGTTGATAATAGAGACTAACATGTTTTTCTTAAGAATTCTTGCCCCGTTTACACCTTTTTTCTTAAGTTTTGCCCCGCTGGACACGGGCAGGATAAAGTATCTATAATGTTACATTATTAATAAAATAACAAATATACTCAAAGCCGGCAATGCGACCTTGAACAATAAAACACAACTGAAATAGGTAGGTAGGTACATTATGAGAGGGTAGGTGAACCTCAAAATGTTAGACAATGCTACCCTCCTTCCCGAAACTCCATCCACCTGGTGAAAATGCCGAAGTTAAAAATGTTTTTTATTTTTATTTTTAAATGTTTGACGCTGTCTATCCAACCCTGGCTGGTCAAAGACGAAGAGGGGGTAATCAGGTAACCAACTCAAGGGGTCTAGGCTATGCTTAGAACATCTGAGTGAGATAGAAAGCCTAAGTTATTAACCTACTGATTCCTGTGTTGGAGAACAGCCAGTCTCCGACAACCTAAGACACTTTACAGTCAGTTTACACGTGATTGTTGGTTTACACTATAGGCTTACTTAAGCCTATCCGCCTAAATATACGTTTACTACAAGCCTAAGTTAGATTGGTTTGGTTGAGTACTATAAGCCCTCTACTTAAAACTACAGATTAACTTATGCACATTGGTTGGTAACTTAACAGTGGAAAAGTGAGTAATGTGAATTAAAGGAACAAGTAGGCCTACTAAGTTAGGCGGTTAGGCCCTCTTAAGTTACGTACCCTAGCCTACTTAAAAATTACAGCTTGAGCACATTGGTTGGTACTAGATTAGAAGTGGAAAAGTGAGAAATTTTAAAGGAACAAAGGTCTATGACAGAAATGAACAATCAATCATCATAATGCAATAGTTTATAGTTATTATCGCATGCCTACGTGACACATGAAATAAGCCTCATGACGTAGTGTAGGCTGCAAGCAAAGCAGCTGTTTGCAGTGTTTACAATGGTAGGCCCTACTGTAGTCAATTAGTTGGGAAATACTCACCACCGAGGGCATCTTCATTCCGTTTGGACGTCATTATAGTTCATAAAATCTTAAGTATTTCACAAATAATAGAAACTAGAACTGACTTTAAATCACAAACAACACAATGTCGATACCCTTTGTCCCTTTAACACATAGCGCGTAGAATCAGTCTGCCTGAACTTCTGAACTACTGACTACTCGACTACTGAACTGAACTGTCACTTGTATTATTATTATTATGAATCTATTCAATGACACAACGCTTTGTTATTGTTTTGGTTTCTTCCTATTGGTCGAAGGTATGTCGGCTCATCAATTTAGCCAATAGCATTCAACAACGATACTGTAGGAAGCTGCATCGTTTAAAGAAAGCATGCTGGGGATCGACGCTTTGAACTCATATTCAACCATCACTATGTAACTAAGCATGTATATATTGTTGTCATTGGTTATATAAAACGTAATCAAAACTATATTTTTAGAGTATCTAGTTTTACATACTTATTTCAGAAATCCCAGTTACAAAGTGGCATATAGATCCAAGATAAAATTAAACCTTGTTATGATTTTGCAAAAGTACGCATTAAATCTAATGATATTTAAATCGAGAATAGAAATGACTTGTTTATAGAAATATTTTAGAAAAATCCAACCAGACAATTTAAATTTATTCTGCAGTTTTTTTGTGGGGACAATTATGAAGATCGGCTTGAGCTTAACTATATATAATATATATAATATATAATATAGCTTAACTACCTATGCCAAATCCTTATAGTAGCCACTTGATTGTTAACCCTAGATCTGGCGCAAAATGTAAAATTTCTGATGTGCTGACGAGAATTATCTATACATAGTTTGAAACCTCTTCTAACCTATGTAACTAAAAGAAGAAAAATGTACTTATATAATACTAGCAACAGAGCCCGTTGTGGTACAACGGTCTCTAGTAAAATAATGGTCGTGAAATCCATACACCGCTTTACTCACTAATGGTACAGATTAAGAACATAACTTTAGAATCGCATACTTAACATAAGAAACTCACTTTAAACACAAATGCAAATGATTGTTAACAACAACATTTAATCAAAGAAAAATCAATTAAATAACAATATACCAATACCCAAGTAGCACACATCGTTGGCCCAACGTTGGGAAATGGTTGGCAGAAATTTTAACGATTTGCCAACGTGTTGGCCCAACGGAAGCTGGTATTCGTTGGCCATACAAAGGAATGAATCGTTGGGCCTTCGTTGGGTTTAAGTATAAAACATTCTAAAACGCATTTTAACGAATTGATTTATTTAAAAGTACATAAATGTTATGGCAGCAGAATATAAGACAAATATTGTAAAATTTGGATCTATAATAAATGTAGTCAAATGATGTTGTGATAGGTACTAGATACAGTGGGGAATACCTGCTTAACATATAAAAAATAATTATAATAATTCCATTTTTTAAACAATATTCTTTAACTTATTTGAGCTAATTTTTAATAGTTATAGGGGAAAGATTAATTAATTATATAACAATCAATTATAACAGTAGCCTACTAATCTAATGGTAATTATAAATAATCTATATTCAAATACTAGCATTCTCTCCAAACTACCAGAAAAACAATTCAACTACTTTATGAAGCCTAAACAGATTAACAGAATCATATTAGGCCTATACTGTAGCATCAAAAATATTTGAAGTATTGTGACCATTGCACCTGTTGGTTACTCTTTGACCACTTGAAAACACTCATTATCAACAAAAGCACAGTAAGCTCAGAGGTAAGGCGTGAGGCGCACAAGGCGAAGGTACCGGGTTCAAGACCCGTTCCGGCCAAATCATTTTATCTCGTTTTTTTCCAAATTAGTTTTTATGAACTATTTAATCAATTTACTCAACTGATAAATGCTTTTCATACTAAATCTTTATTATTTTGTGTTTCTTTTTATTTTTAGGCCCAATAATGGGATGGATGGCCCTTCCGCAAAAATTGGTTTGGTTGGCCAACGATCGACAGAAACGTTGGGCCAACGATTTTCCAACGATTTTTGTTACTTGGGTATGCTGTTAAATTATTAACACATGTTTCGTATGATTAGATTATGCATAATGGTAAACCAATTATTGTGATCTATAAAAATTATTGGTTTTTATTTTCCGAGTCGGTCTTCTACCCGGACGATTTTCATAATTTTGGCCTTAAACTAAAGGTATGGACGCACCACAGATTTGCCATCAGGCATCGGCATTCATTTTGACGTATATTTCGAGCTATGCAAGAACATATTTGTCATCAAGCATCATTATTAATTTATCCAAAGTATTACCCAACGAAAAAATATAAATTAGATTTATTTGATTTTTTATATCAATTAAAGTGTATTCCAGCAGTTCTAATTACATTACCCCTAAAAATATATGTTTTGGCCTAAAAACCTTTAGTAAAATACCAGCTTACATTTTAGCTATTGATTATCAAGATTCCGATCTTAATATCCTTCCTATGGAACACTGCTGAATCACGAATCAACAATAATTATAATCGTTTTAGTACTTATCTGCAATCAATGGCACGTAACTAAAATTTTATTGAAGGTATTTTATATGTCTTGGTCTTAAAAATACTTCAAAGGCTTTCACTTGAGATATTGATAGTTTTAATAAGTTAAGTTAAAGATATACTGTATAGCTCAATCAGAAAACATAAATTTAATTATATCTTGGATATGGAATTTAGTTGTAGATATATTTACTCAATTCTAATTACTTTTATTCTATGTTTTGACCTGAGAAACCTTCAGTGAAATACCAGCTTCCATTTGAATTATTGATTATTAAGATCAGACGTACCTAAAGCACACTACTAAATCACAAACAACGCAAATTTAAAAAAATGAGTTATATTTGTCATCGATTTTTAATAGTCAAACGGTCTTGCTTGCAACCTCAACAGCAACTGTCAGACTTTGACAGGTTTCACCAAGTAAATCTTGAAAAAAACTAACTTTCATAATTATTTGTAAATCTACACGAATTAGGCTTTCCAATGACTAATTCATTAATTATTAATTAATTAAATCGATGCAGTAGAACTGTAGATTTAATTGTACAAAATTTAACAACATCTTTAATTCATGTTTTCTCACCATTATACATTTAGAGGTTGCTTAACGTTTTTGCAAATAGATTTGAAATGGTGAGGAAATCGAAGAAAGTGGAAGGTTATATTCTGATAGAGAATAAACTTTCCTACAAATTACTATTATTTATTTCTGGAAAATACTCAATAAAGGCAGCCCAAAGTTGGCTACAAATATAAACTTGGAATATAAACTTGGAAAAAAGGCGTTTTAAATGTATTATTGTTTTTTATTATTGTTTTACGTCAAATATGTAATAAAATCAAACTTTCATAATTATTTGCAAATTTACACGAATTAGGCTTTCCACGACCCATTACGACCCATTAAGTAACAAAATCGGTCCGGTAGAAGTCTAGATTTAGTTGTACAAAGTTTAACAAAAATATATCTAATTTAGTATTTCCTCACCATTATAGATTTGGAGATCACTTAGCTTATTGCGAATAACTTTTAAATGGAGGGGAAATCCACCAAAGTGGATGTGATATTCTGAAAGAGAATAAAATTTACTACAAATAACTACTATTCATTTCTTTAAAATGCTTAATAATGGCAGCCAAAAGCTGGCTCCAAATAGAAACTTAAAAAACAAAAACTTGAAAAAACAGTTTTTAATGCATTTTTGTTATTTTTACTTTTTTACCACAAAGATTTAATAAAATCACAGTTTCATAATTATTTGCAAATCTACATGAGTTGGGCTTTCCAATGACCCATTAATTAACAAAATCGGTCCTGTAGAAGTCTAGATTTAGTTGTACAAAGTTTAACAAAAATATCCCTAACTCAGTATTTTCTCATTACTATAAATTCGGAGGTTGCTTAGCTTTTTTGCAAATAACTTTTAAATGGTGAGGAAATTGACTAAAGTGGAAGGTGATATTCTGAAAGAGAATAAAATTTCCTACAATGTGTTACTCTACACTTCTTGGAAACGCTCAAAAAAGGCAGCCAAAAGTCTAACCCAAATAAAAAGTGTGAAAAACACCGTTTTCAGTGTATTTCTTATGGAAAACATGTTTTTTTTAAATAATTTTTCACCATAAATCATAACAAAAACAAACTTTCATAATTATTTGCAAATCTACACAAATTAAGCTTTCCAACGACCCATTAATTAATAAAATCGGTCCAGTAGAACTCTAGATTTAGTTGTACAAAGATTTTTAAAACTGAATTATATATAGAATAGATAATTTGTATTTTCAGAGTTAACACAGGTTCTTTATACCAAAATTAAGAGGTTCATCAATGGTGGAAATGAAAATAGTTTTTTTACAGCTCAATAATTATAGGCGCTATTTGATAATGCTACATTCACAATAAAACAGCGAAAAACATTTTTGTGGATTATGCCACGGCCGCCTTTCACTCCAGGCCGCGGCCTTTGAAGTGGCAACGTCGCAAGTGGTGTTGTAACAGCTGTTTTGTTTGGAAGCAGCCACGATTACTACATCGTGTATTCTAGTACTACATGTATAATCTAGTATTCGTGTAAGCAGCTATTGGTATCTATATATATATATGTATAAATCCTAAAGTACCCATGAACTTTTGAGAAAACTACAAGTCACACCCCCATAAACCATATAGGTACTTAAAATGTTCGTCATGACGAGAAACCTTGCGCAAAACTATCCATTTTTTTAATAAATTGTCCTTTAAGGTCATAATTGCTTTCCAAAGGGAACTTTCCATATACTTAATGTTAAAAATACCTCTGTTATTATTTGCATGTTATTCTTTGAATTTATTACCTTATTAAAATCTGCTGTGATTATTTGTTTGTAATGCTGCATTCTGTTTTGTTTATTTCAGCTTAACTTAACCAATAAATAGTTTTATTAATACTTATGAAGTCAAACGGGTTGAAGCCCGTGGGTAACAGCTAGTTTGTGTATTTACGAAAGCTTGGTTACTGGACTATGACAATATTGACTCCGCTAAAAATGTACAGATATAGATTTTTAATACATATTGTTTTGGTTTTCAATTCTGTATGTTTTATTTTTCAATATTTAAATAAATTTATGTTCATAAATTTAAATCAATAAAGTGAGAATTAATGAGCTAATGTCACCTGTCTGCCATGTTATCTTATGGGACGTCTGTCAGTCTGTCACTAAACAACACCACTTGCGACGTTGCCAATTCTACCAGGCCGTGGCCTGTAGTTTAAGGTGGCCGTGATTATGATACCCAGATATGACCATTGAACTCATAAGAGCAATATATTCTTGTGGAGGCCAATCCCGTTCATGTGGGAGAAGAATCATAGCAGCGATGGAACTCTAGCTCATGGCATGGATAGTGGCATGCCCATATTGTAGTGGATGTTCCCACGGTCAAATTAAGAAATATTTTAAGGTCACCTTTTCCACATCTGGTCACAAAATAGACAACAAAAACATGGATGCGATCAGCAAATCCCTAAAGCAAGAGAGGTTTTCTCTTCAGAGGTTGCTTTAAAAAATAACTTTTGCCTTTGCCTTCACTGAAACGGTTGCTTGCCATCACTCCTTTAGAGCTTATAAGTACAGCAAAATGTGAGTGAGCGTTGCGAACGAACTTCAACCTGGAGGCGAGTTAGCGTAGCGAATGAGCTTACCTGAAGGCAAGTGAGCGCAGCGAACGAGCTCCAACCTAAAGGTGAGTGAGCGTAGCGAACAAACTTCATCCTGGACGTGATTGAGCCATGCGAATACTTATGAAGTTAAACGGGGCGGGTACATCTGTCGTTTATAAAACTAAAATAACATGTTTTGTTGCAATGAACAGAACCTTTTTCATTGTAATGTCTTATTAGAGTCGGAAAGCTCTAATAGACGTGCAACTGTCAGCTGCTTTGGCCGTTGTTTAACTACTACTTTTTTAAGAGTGTAAAGTGCATTCTTTCATGACGACCAATCTCATTACTTCCAGAGCTTGTAGAAAGAATATGTTTTTTGCTAAAAATTATATTTTGGACGTCGTGACACTGACTTATATCTTTGGACGTTGTGCAATGCATCCATTTTTAACATGGACATGGACATTTAACTTCTTATAGGTTTTTTATTCATTGTTATTGATATTGACTAGGATAAGATTTTTCATTAGCTGAGACCATTTATACACCAAAATAAAAATCTGTCGTGTTATATTCAGTACTTTCCTTCAAAGCAATGGTCAAGGACTGCTGGGTGCAGTTTTAAACCATCAAAATGCTACTAACTTTCTGAGGACAGAACCAGGGACCTTTCAATTACTAGGGAGCACTATAACCACTTAGCTACCCAAAAAGGTTTATTGGGTTAAGAAGATTGGTGTAAAAGAAACACATGTTACTAAACTAAGGCAATACAATATATTGACATATATTAATTGAAGTTATAAAATGCTAACACATGTTTAAAGACTTGAGGATTGTATCCTTCTAAAACAGGGATACCCTGTACATATGAACAGTTTTCATACAAATTCATTGCAGGGAGACTCCAGTAAATATTGTGTATAGAGCTGAACAAATCAGCAGTGTTAAGTTGAAAAACACTGAAGTCGAAACGTCTTCCATCTGTTTGTAGGCACTGCACCACAACAGGTTTCGGTAAATCTTTTACATCAGCCTGAAATTAAGAAAATAATTACATCCTGATCAAACGATGACAAAAGAAAAATTTCCTATTGGTTAAAATGACTGGCTGTTTCAAGAGCTTGCAAAGTTCCTTTTTGGTTTCTTTTTAATTTCCCTGACCAATTTTCTTTTACCATATGGTTTTCTATATAAATAAAATTAGAGTTTTGTCTGTACATTGCTCAGAATCATAAACTTTTAGGTTATTTTTACGTTTTATACATTAGAGAAACCGAAACAAGTCTCATCTAAATTTCTGTCTGTCTTCATGTCTGTTACGACCCAAGAGCCATTTTACGCGGCCTACTCCTGAAAAACGAGAGTACCTATCAAGTTCCAAATCATTTTAATGTATTCACTGGATTGGCGAAATTGTCTTTAGCCATTAAAATATGGCGTCTCCACATTTTTGGCTCTCATTTCCTTAATTTACTACTCTATGATTACTGTCAGATAAAATAAAATCGCTAGTTGCAAACGACGTTTAAACGTTACTGGTGACAAGCGAAGCTATTGAATGCTTGCAAGTGATTGACAGGGAAATTAGTAATCAATTTGGTTTCTTTATTATATTGATAGTGTTTCAACTAGGGTTTTAATGGAAACCAACACTAAACCTTAAAATAATGAGAAAGCTGGTCTAGCTTCAGCTGTTGATTGTGGTTCATAATCACAAGCCCTTCCTTGGTTAGATTTCGAAGATTTTTCAAAGGTTTACTAAATTAACAAAGAGGAAATTACCTGATGAGATTTAAGATATGCCTAGACTACATGATAATTGTAACGAAAAAATCTCCATATAACATGAAACTTAGATTGAAAAAATTGCATAGTTTACTCCTGCTAACAGCTCTTGTATATGACTATTCCTAGGCTATGCTATGATTTAAAACGAATACCAAGTTCCAAGTTCAATATTATTAGGAATATATCTGTTTAGTCCTTGCAAGAACAAGCCTACTATAGCCAACTTGTTACAAAGCCAAGTAGGCCTACATGTTATTTTTACTTTACAAATTTCAACATGTTTAAATCAAAAGCCGATTTCAGGATAAGTTTGTTTTCTGTACCAACTAGGTTGAAGCACAATTGCCCTATGCATAATGACAATAAAGGACGATTTCTTGACATTAAAAAGTGTTATTCATAGAACAAGTAACTTATCACTATGGTTAAAATTTATAGCAATGTCGTTTTTAACATTAAAAGTAAAGAAAGGCAATAAACTCCAATTTCAGTAGGCTAGGCTCTGTAACACAAAAAAGTATTTTTAAATAATCGTTTTACAGTTTTATTGGTCTTAATTGTTGATATAAGACATCTATAAATGAATCTATATTAAAGACATAAAATGAGCTTTTAAATTTAGTTATGTTGTATGCCCTTTGAACTTAATGAAATTTACTTATAAGATGCTTAAAAATAATGCAATATTTAATAATAAGTACTAAATATGATGGGACACCCAATTATTTGGTTCTGTTGTTGTACTTTTAGGCTTATAATGCCAACAAATTAAATACAATCTAGGAATAATTTGTTTTCCAAGTAATGTTAGATACAATACTGACATTTTTTGTTTAAATGTTTGTTCAATAAAAATGTAGTTGCAATTGATTTTACATTTACCTAATGTGCGTGGAATAAAAAGTAACGTCTTTGGAAAAGTAGCTAAAATTGTAGCTGTAGCTACATTTCATTGTAGCTGTAGTTGTAGCTAGCTACTTTTTCGGAACTGTAGCTGTAGCTGTAGCTAAGCTACTTTTTTGGAAATGTAGCAGTAGTTGTAGCTAGCTACATTTTAAAAGTAGCTTCCCCAACACTGCTAAGGATCACTTGACAATGCCTATTTGTAAAAACATAGTGGAGCGGCGAGGCTAGAGTGTAGCGGAGAGCGTAGCTAAGCGGGTTTTAGATCATATATATACGTAGGTGCACCAAACATAGTGGAGCGGGGAGCGTAGCGGGTACCCGTGCCAACACGCTACCCTCTCCGCTCCAAAATTCTACCCCGATTTCTTTACCTCGAGGGTCTGGTGTAAGGTCCAGCCTCAGTGGTCAAACTGACATTAAAATGTAGTTTTATTTTATAAAATGGTATAGTGTAATAATTCTTGTAAAAAAGGTACAGTTTTTCCATAATTAAGTGAAATATTCAATATACAATTTATCCTGTAAACAGTTTTTTTAAAACTTTTTTTATACAATGATTAGAAATTTCTATAAATATTTCATTGCAATTTTTATTATTTTAACTATGTAGGCAGTTTTCAATGAATGGTCACTTTGCTGTGTTTTACTATTTTCACCATTCATTCATTTATTTTTCAAAATCAGTACTTTTTACCCTCATGATAGATAAATCAGGTTGAAAGTAAATTCAACCAATACTCAATCCAAGGTATACTGTAATCCAGCCTCTTGACTCGCTAACGTCGCCGCTCCACTATGTGCATACGTGCAGCTCCGCTACCGTCGGGGGGGGGGGGGGGGGGGAAATAAACTCTCAGCTACAATCTATCCTCGCCACTCCACTAAGTGCATACGTCCAGCTCCGCTATCATCGGAGGGGAAATAAACTCTCAGCTACGCTCTCCGCTACAGTCTAGCCTAGCCGCTCCACTATGTGCATACGTGCAGCTCCGCTATCATCGGAGGGGAAATAAACTCTCAGCTACGCTTCTCCGCTACAGTCTAGCCTAGCCGCTCCACTATGTTTTCACCCTATATGTAGGTGAAACATGTAGTCAGTGTGAACAAAAAAATAATCCAGCTTACCGGGTAAAGAAAAATCCCGTTTCATTCCACTTTTGAATAATGGAAAATCTTGCTCTTTTGGTTCAATTAAAGGTAATATTTTGACTATCATGTTTAAATAGTTGTTTAAACATTGCTATTAGGTTTTTCTACAGTAATTTAAAAATTGAGGTTTGTTTTGCTTTAAACAAAGTATAAATAATTAAAACAGACCTCAGAGCCAAAAATCCCAGTTTATCCTGCATCATATTTCAATCTTGGCCATGGTCTAAAAATCCCGTTTTCGGGACAATAATACCTCATATTCAACTGTGGATGTAAAGGTATGTACCTTAAATAATAATGTGATTTTTGCCTTCAGTAGAGACCTACCATGTATCTGGGTCTCTTCCACCTTATCTCATTTGAAACGATACCCATTACTCACCCCATAGCTGTAATGTGCTTGAGCTACAACTGCTGTGAAGGCTTTCAGTAGAGCCCTGTCATGGATCTGGGTCTCTTCTACCTTGTCTCATGTGAACTGAGACCCATTACTCACCCCATAGCTGTAATGTGCTTGAGCTACAGCTGCTGTGAAGGCCTTCAGTAGAACCCTCCCATGGATCCGGGTCTCTTCTACCTTATCTCTTTGAAACGATACCCATTACTCACCCCATAGCTGTAATGGAGACGTAGGAATTGGCTAACTCAGGAACTCGCTAACTCGGTCGTGTGTCGGACCTGGCTAACTCAGAAACCGGCTAACCTTCTCAGTCAGGAATTGGCTAACTCCGGAACCCGCTAACTCAATTTTGTCTCGCGGCGGAATTCGCTAACTCTGGAAGTCGCTAACCCGGCAGCGCCCACTGCACGGAGCGTTGCCAACCTTGTACGACGAAATAATCTTACACTGCCGTATTTCAAAATGTCAGTATCAATGAAGATACAGTAAATATTATTGTTTTTTGCTATGCGTTCTACTTTTAACAGCTAACTAGCCAAAAGTAATTAAAATGCAATTAAAAAAATCATGAAAAAGGTTTTTTTTACTGTACAACGGCCAATAAAATGTTTATGATTTCGATCTTAAATATAAATGCCATAAGTATTATAAGAAAATAATATGAAAAAAATTGAACGTTCAGTTTAATTGGTACTAAACAGTTTAACCGTTTAACCTCTACGAAATGAACCAAAATTACACGCAAGTTCTCAAACACGGAAATCAAATTTATCGTAATGTAATAAACGAAAACCATTAATTAATACAGTCAACAACCATCGTAACTTTCATAACTAATTCATAGATTTAAAATTGAAGGTTCGTCGTTGAATCGTCCAACTTACATGTAATAATATGACATAGACTACGTTTCATATAAATTTATAGAATAGCTGTAGGTCTAAATCTAGGCCTAATAGTTTAAACCAAAGTGTAGTGCATTGTAGGCCTATTAGTAAAAAGTCGCCTAATTCTAAAGTGTGTTGAACTTTTTAGTAATAATGTTACACGTTTTAAAACAGTTTTTAGATTGTACACCTAAGCCCCACTAGTAAATAATAGGAGAAGATATAATATTCTTATATTGAAACGTGACAGGGTTATTTTAATTCACGATTCTTAATCAATGACTTGACGGATTTTCCTGATTTTAGTGTTGGGTTTCATTTTGCTTTTACAATCGAAATAAACTACCAAAGCCATGCTCGGTTCCCCGTTCCCCGGTACTGAGTCACTCACTAGACAATAGCTTTGTTGTTGGATTATGATCAGGTAATTTTAGCTATGGCCACCATTCATAAAAATGGTAACAAACAAGAACGCCTGGGTTCATTTAGAACCATAAAAAGTCCAGACTTTAGACGTAAAATTAATATTAATTAAGAGGATAACCCGGGTTCTACACTAATAGCCTACGACAACATCAACTTACAAATTGTATTTATGAATAGACTAATTTTTAATGCAATCCATGAATAAATTACCACTTTATAATGTATTGATCAATATTTATTTAAATTCAATAGCTCTATTTAAAAATATATTAGCACTACAATGTATTTCTGTAATGACGTTTAACAAGTAAATTTGATTGGGAAGGTAATCCTCAAAATTCTAGGCATAAAGTCTATGGCAATTACTGTAGATTTTTTTAAATGTCAATTTGTTGGTTGCCTCGAATAGGATAGACTATTCCAATACTGCTTCAATTTTTTTTAATAGATTATATGTTTCCTAACAACATAATGTAAGAACATTTAAATTCCTTTTCTTGACTAAAGTAAAGACGCAAATATTGTAATACATTGTTAACGTTTTTGATTTGCGTTATTAATTAATGTACCTAGATAAATCATATGCCTGCTATAGATAAATACCGAAACTATTCCTATCTATTCCGAAACTATTCCTATCCTTCCTATATAGTAGAGCCCTGTCATGGATCTGGGTCTCTTCCACCTTATCTCATTTGAAACGATACCCATTACTCACCCCATAGCTTTAACGTGCTTGAGCTACAGCTGCTGTAAAGGTCTTCAGTAGAGCCCTGTCATGTATCTGGGTCTCTTCCACCTTATCTCATTTGAAACGATACCCATTACTCACCCCATAGCTGTAACGTGCTTGAGCTACAGCTGCTGTGAAGGTCTTCAGTAGAGCCCTGTCATGTATCTGGGTCTCTTCTACCTTGTCTCATGTGAAACGATACCCATTACTCACCCCATAGCTTTAACGTGCTTGAGCTACAGCTGCTGTGAAGGTCTTCAGTAGAGCCCTGTCATGTATCTGGGTCTCTTCTACCTTGTCTCATGTGAAACGATACCCATTACTCACCCCATAGCTTTAACGTGCTTGAGCTACAGCTGCTGTGAAGGTCTTCAGTAGAGCCCTGTCATGTATCTGGGTCTCTTCTACCTTGACTCATTTGAAACGATACCCATTACTCACCCCATAGCTTTAACGTGCTTGAGCTACAGCTGCTGTGAAGGTCTTCAGTAGAGCCCTGTCATGTATCTGGGTCTCTTCCACCTTATCTCATTTGAAACGATACCCATTACTCACCCCATAGCTTTAACGTGCTTGAGCTACAGCTGCTGTGAAGGTCTTCAGTAGAGCCCTGTCATGGATCTGGGTCTCTTCTACCTTGACTCATTTGAAACGATACCCATTACTCACCCCATAGCTTTAACGTGCTTGAGCTACAGCTGCTGTGAAGGTCTTCAGTAGAGCCCTGTCATGGATCTGGGTCTCTTCTACCTTGACTCATTTGAAACGATACCCATTACTCACCCCATAGCTTTAACGTGCTTGAGCTACAGCTGCTGTGAAGGTCTTCAGTAGAGCCCTGTCATGTATCTGGGTCTCTTCCACCTTATCTCATTTGAAACGATACCCATTACTCACCCCATAGCTTTAACGTGCTTGAGCTACAGCTGCTGTGAAGGTCTTCAGTAGAGCCCTGTCATGGATCTGGGTCTCTTCTACCTTGACTCATTTGAAACGATACCCATTACTCACCCTATAGCTTTAACGTGCTTGAGCTACAGCTGCTGTGAAGGTCTTCAGTAGAGCCCTGTCATGGATCTGGATCTCTTCCACCTAATCTCATTTGAAACGATACCCATTACTCACCCCATAGCTTTAACGCGCTTGAGATACAACTGCTGGGAAGGTCTTCAGTAGAGCCCTGTCATGGATCTGGGTCTCTTCCACCTTATCTCGTTTGAAACGATACCCATTACTCACCCCATAGCTGTAACGTGCTTGAGCTACAGCTGCTGTGAAGGCCTTCGGTAGAGCCCTCCCATGGATCTGGGTCTCTTCTACCTTGTCTAATGGGAAGGGAGATCTATTACTCACCCCATAGCTGTAATGTGCTTGAGCTACAGCTGCTGTGAAGGCCTTCAGTAGAGCCCTCCCATGGATCTTGGTCTCTGCTACCTTGTCTTATGTGAAGGGAGACCCATTACTCACCCCATAGCTGTAATGTGCTTGAGCTACAGCTTCTGTGAAGGCCTTCAGTAGAGCCCTGCCATGGATCTGGGTCTCTTCTACCTTGTCTAATGTGAAGGGAGACCCGTTACTCACCCCATAGCTGTAATGTGCTTTAGCTACAACTGCTGTGAAGGCTTTCAGTAGAGCCCTCCCATGTATCTGGGTCTCTTCTACCTTGTCTAATGTGAAGGGAGACCCATTACTCACCCCATAGCTGTAATGTGTTTGAGCTACAGCTGCTGTGAAGGCCTTCAGTAGAGCCCTGCCATGGATCTGGGTCTATTCTACCTTGTCTCATGTGAAGTGAGACCCATTACTTACCCCATAGCTGCAATGTGCTTCAGCTACAGCTGCTGTGAAGGCCTTCAGTAGAGCCCTGCCATGGATCTGGGTCTCTTCTACCTTGTCTAATGTGAAGGGAGACCCATTACTCACCCCATTGCTGTAATGTGCTTGAGCTACAGCTGCTGTGAAGGCCTTCAGTAGAGCCCTCCCATGTATCTGGGTCTCTCCTACCTTTTCTAATGTGAAGGGAGACCCATTACTCACCCAATAGCTGTAATGTGCTTGAGCTACAGCTGCTGTGAAGGCCTTCAGTAGAGCCCTGCCATGGATCTGGGTCTATTCTACCTTGTCTCATGTGAAGTGAGACCCATTACTTACCCCATAGCTGTAATGTGCTTGAGCTACAGCTGCTGTGAAGGCCTTCAGTTGAGCCCTGCCATGGATCTGGGTCTCTTCTACCTTGTCTAATGTGAAGGGAGACCCATTACTCACCCCATAGCTGTAATGTGCTTGAGCTACAGCTGCTGTGAAGGCCTTCAGTAGAGCCCTTCCATGGATCTGGGTCTCTTCTACCTTGTCTAATGTGAAGGGAGACCCATTACTCACCCCATAGCAGTAATGTCCTTGAGCTACAGCTGCTGTGAAGGCCTTCAGTAGAGCCCTTCCATGGATCTGGGTCTCTTCTACCTTGTCTAATGTGAAGGGAGACCCATTACTCACCCCATAGCTGTAATGTCCTTGAGCTACAGCTGCTGTGAAGGCCTTCAGTAGAGCCCTCCCATGGATCTGGGTCTCTTCTACCTTGTCTAATGTGAAGGGAGACCTATTACTCACCCCATAGCTGTAGTGTGCTTGAGCTACAGCTGCTGTGAAGGCCTTCAGTAGAGCCCTCCCATGGATCTTGGTCTCTTCTACCTTGTCTAATGTGAAGGGAGACCTATTACTCACCCCATAGCTGTAATGTGCTTGAGCTACAGCTGCTGTGAAGGCCTTCAGTAGAGCCCTCCCATGGATCTGGGTCTCTTCTACCTTGACTCATGTGAAGGGAGACCCATTACTCACCCCATAGCTGTAATGTGCTTGAGCTACAGCTACAGCTGCTGTGAAGACCTTCAGCCCTCCCATGGATCTGGGTCTCTTTTACCTTGTCTAATGTGAAGGGAGACCCATTACTCACCCCATAGTTGTAACGTGCTTGAGCTACAGCTGCTGTGAATGCTTTCAGTAGAGCCCTGCCATGGATCTGGGTCTCTTCTACGTTTCTCTCGTAAATGTTCTTCACTTCTTGATGATTGTAATGAACCATGATTGTGTGTACATTGGCATACTTGGCATTTTCTTTTATAGCTGGAACATCAAAATAAATTTTTCACAGAAACATGAGATTATGATATTGAAAATCTAGCCTATTATATCTGCGATCTAGTTTGTAACAATGTATCATTTCTATGCCATATTTGCCATTAGGCCAGTGGCGGATCTAGAACAGACACAAGGGGGGGGGGGGGGCTAACTAGGGGGTTTGGGGGAACCCCCTGAAAAAATTAGTGTAAACTAAGTTTTCAAAATGGTAGTTTTATACAATTTCTTTGTCCAAAGTTAGTGTGACAAATTATTTTATGCAATGTGTATGCACTACTGTATTAGATGCAGTAAAAAAATTAATATATGTATACCCGAGGGGGGGGGGGTCGCCCCCACTCTGGATCAGCCACTGCATTCGACTTTAAGCACTAACTTGCTTGTATCAATTAAAATTTTAGCAACATAACAAACCAGGAGCATGAAAAATTACAATACATGTTAGAAAAGGATGCATATGGCCTGAGTTCCAGTAAATGTTGAAAACCAAAAAGCAATCCTGATACATTCAAAATAAAAACCATAGATAAATTTAAAACTCTACTTGAACACCAATTTATTAACCAAATCAAAATCAAAATTTCAAATCAGAAACAAAAAAGTAACAACAAATTCAAATTTCAAAATATAAATAATTTAAAACCACATTTACTAATCAGGTAACAGTAATTTTTAACATTTCCGAGTTTAGATCTTGAAAATCACCAACTAAATCACAAAACTAACCACTTTTACAAATTTTCAGTGGTTAAGAAAATTTAGCTTTAGTTTTGACCCAATTACTACAATTAATTACAATAATTACTACTGCTCATAACTAAATTAGAAACATCACCCAAAATGACAACTTTAAAATAAAAGTTGAGTGAAGCGGTAAAGCTAAAGAAACTTCTTCAAATAACTGTTTGAACAATAGTTTTTTTAATGCTTGGCATTATTATATGAGCTTACGGATAAGCGAAAAACCCATTTTTTATGACATTTTATTCTCATGATATTAAAATGAAGGTTGTCTCTTTGACTGAATTAAAAGTACAGTATTAGGCCTTAAACTTTTTACTTACTTGTGATTCCACACACAACTTATATTTTGTACTCTTTTATAAGGGAAAAGTACTTATTGTTTTTTTTTTATCAAATATGGTGCTGTATATGACATTTATTTGATCATTGTTTGATTGATATTAGATTTATTGTATTTTATAAAAAATAGAAATATACCTTCGAAAAAGGGTTGAGCCATCTAACTTTTGTCATAACTTTCTTTGTTTTATTGAAGGCAAACATAATAGCCTATTTATGTTTTTATACTAAGTTATAAATAATCTAAATAGACGAGGTCACACAAGATTGCCCAAGAACAAAGAAAAAAAAAAACACACAAATATAGGCTTAACAAAAATAAGACACTGACATATATTAAACATAACAGTGTCAGTTTGGTCCATGAATACAAACCCTTTAAGAAGCGCAATGCGTTTGTATAAAATTCAGTCTGGATATATTTGAACTTTTTATAGTTCCCGCGGCGAGTAATGTTATTGGTCTAGCGGCCAAGTCAGCTGACTGAGTGTGAGAGAGTGAGACAAAGAATCTGTTTAGAAAGAGAGATGGATTGAGTTGCGCGGCTGCCACGCGAAGCTCATTTTGGTGGCAAAATTCCAGTCTGACTTTTCCCCATAAGCATTTCACTTCTTAAAGGGTTTATATTCATTGGTTTGGTCAAAGTAAAATCATGATGTCGTACAGGTAAATATGTGATTAGACAAACAGATAAAAGAGCAGTCTCTTGTCTCTATAATTTAAGTACATATCATATTGATGTATATTATATCATTATTGCATTTTTTGTCTACACTCTATAAGTTACTTATTCAAATAAGTACAAACATTTTGTAGGAATTTTAGATAAAGTTGTGAGTGGAGTGAGACGAACTATTTAATTTAATAATGAAGGCTAACACAACCCAAATAAACTAGGAGAATGTTCCACATCCAGGGGATCTGTTTGATTCACTTAAAAGGACTAAATAGTATCATAGACCAAGTCAATGTTAGTATCTAACTTTTCTAACACTAGGGGTGTGCGATGCAGCATATTTTTTTCAATTCAATGCATCGATGCGATTCAAAGAATTTCGATTCGAATCGATGCGATTCGATTCGATGCAGCACGGCATGATTTTCTTTAAAAATTAAATACAATATGTGTTTCTGTAATGGATCCTTTACCTTAAAAAAGTTAAAGTAAAAAATGTACTAAATAAAATTATGAACAAGAGGATAGTTGCTGACCTAACCTCATTAATGGAAACTGCTAATTTTATGGTTGGCCTAAGGAAATTCACCCTTCACTAACAATTTGAATAAGCCTATATATGAATAAAGCAATTGTAAAGTTTATTATTATTGACCTGTATTACATATAATTTATTTTTGTAAAAAAATACAACCGACTTCAAACGCTCTAAAAAGAATGAAATAATTTCAATAAAGTACACTTTTGTATTAGGCAAGCTCACGTATTTTAAGTCGGCGCGGCTCTATGAAGATTTTTGATACAAAATTGAAAGAGGGTGTCCATATTGCAGGTGACTATCTATAACCAAAGGTGTTAATCTGCATGTCTTTTTCATAGTTATGCGTTAAGTGTTATTTTATTACCGTAATCAGAGATCGGCATTATAGTGGTATTAACGAGTATCTTTAAAAAGATTATAACGCATTAAATGTTTCTAACTTGGAAAAGTAACGTTTTAATACTAAACTAGCTTCTTTTCCCTATCATAATATCAAACTAAATTATTTTCCTATTCATATAGAACATTTGTGTGTGATATTTTCATAATGCATTTATTCTGAAGTAAACATAAAATAAAAGAAAATATTTCCTTTTATAAATAAACAAAACAGTTCAGTATGTTTTTTATATATTTATGTTATCCAGCTACAATTTATTGATTTTCAAAATACACAAACAATATTTTTAATTTCAATCATATTTGCAGTTTGAGCCGCGCCGACTTGAAATACGTGAGCTTGCCTAATACAAAAGTGTACTTTATTGAAATTATTTCATTCTTTTTAGAGCGTTTGAAGTCGGTTGTATTTTTTTACAAAAATAAATTATTTCATGATTTTTAGTGACTGTATAATTTTTTATATATTAATTACTTGAGGATTTTTGATAAGCAAAACTGTTTGAAACAATAATCAAAAGTTCCCCAGAACAATCATTATTTTAAAACTGCTTGAGTCACCTGTTCAGGTTACATAATCAATGGGTATGAAGATAAACATCTTTAGATATTCCTTAAGAAAGAAAGAGTTGTCCATTACATTAGGCCTAATGAAAAACTAATTGTCTTTTCTAGATACATTGAAATGTCAGACATCATCGTTTCCTGCAATCGGTGGGTGTACTTCTACATTATAAAAAGAAATACAGTAACGTCTCAAGCCTTTTGGAACAATATGAAAGTTATTCCTCAGTTACCAGCACTAAAAAATCTCTCAAAAGTGGAAAATTGGTCGTTAACACCATAGTACCTTTCGTATAGTAGGTACCTTTGGAAAATATTATATGAAAGATTGGTTCAGCTAAAAGTGGTGTAAGTCATGTAGGGGGTTTTGCTTGCTCAAGATATAGCCTAGTCGAAACTGCAAATCATCTTCCTCTAGGACTTTCCGAAACAGGCATAATAGTATTGATATGTTCTAGTAACTGGGTAGAGAATATTAATAAACATTCCACATCTGCAAATGAAATATGTATATGAAAGATTGGTTCAGCTAAAAGTGGTGCAAGCCATGTAGGTGGTTTTGTTTGATCAAGATATAGCCTAGTCGAAATTGCAAATCATCTTCCTCTAGGACTTTCCGAAGCAGGTATAATAGTATTGATATGATATAGTAACTGGGTAGAGAATATCAATAAACATTCCACATCTGCAAATGCATGTTTAGTAATTAAAATATTTAACACTTTTAAGACAATTGACGATTATGCACTGTCACACTTCTTAGGTCGTGTAAGGAATAATTGCATTTGATTTATATTTAGACCTGTTTTACGAATGCTTTGGTTTTTACAATACACCTTTATTTGTCAATATCATACAGCTATTCACTGAAACATATATGTTTTTGTAAGTCAGAATATTCAATACTAACAACAGAATTACTGTATACACAAATCAGGTCAAACGTTAAAATACATTTTTTATAGTAACCAAAACAAAATGCATTTTTCTCAATGTAATTCATTTAGGCTCCATGGCAAGAAATAGTTTATTGATCAATATGTTTCAAGAAGAATTGTCTGTAGCTTCATTTAAATGGTTTCAACTAACAGCTGTAGGAATGTTATTATTATTTATTGCATTCTCTGCACAAATGTAAACAATCTGCACAAATGTAAACAAAATAAATGTTGAATATTTAAGGTTTTCAGAATTTTACACCGAAACAAATATTATACTTAAACATAATATATAAGGTACCAAATCGAAACTCTCCTGGTTATTTTGATGGTGGAACCACACTGATCGGTAAAAGAATCACAGAGAAATTGGTGAACATACATAGAAAAAAAAAAAACATCGCCACATACAAATTGAGAACCTCCTCCTTTTGTTGGTAGTGGGGAAGTCGGTTAAAAATAGAGTTTATTTTATGATGTAGTATTGTTACTTAATTTTCACATTTATATTTATTGGCTTTCAATACTTCTGGTTCATTCTTAAATCAGCACGAACCAAAAAAGTTGATGATCAGTGTTTACTGTCTATTTGATACATTATTGCATGTTATGAATAAATAGATCCGAAATTAAAAATAAAGATTGAAATTAATAAAAGTGTGTGTAAACTAAAAAGTTCAAAGAGATCAGTGAGGCCTACCAAAAAGATAATAGTTATTAATTAGAACTTAAATAAAATAATATATAATATCATTTTCTCACTATTTATATCTTCAACATTTGTTAAACTATGAAAATAAGCCACTAGGTCTAGCTGAAAACACATTAATAAATTACGATATCTTTTCAATACAGAATAATAAAACAAACCACATTTTACAAACATTTTAATTCTTAACTTTTTCCCTTGAACAGGTTGAGGAGGCCAACACTTTTTTAATGACTATCAACCAAAATGAAGTATCAATTATAATTTCACGTAAGCCGCTGATGAGTGAACTATGAAGAGCACACGACAGAATTACGTCACTACCACAACAACTCAACTCTACTGCGATGGCAAACTGCTGGTGTTTAGTGTGAAGTGAAGCACCCCCTCCCCTGTCTAACGGGACAAGGGGTATGAAAAGAGAAAGTTTGTCAGAATGGCAGACTTGCCCTTTGTAAAGTCTGGTTCACATGCCCTCCCTCACCCCCAGTCGCTTGCATAATTCTACTAAACAAAAGTTTCTGAGTGTTAATTTTAAAATAAATGTTTGAATTCAATGACTAAAGCATAGATCTGATAAACTTTACTCTGGGCTTATCAGAATTTTATCAGCCATTTGTCAGTTTTTTCTTATTTCTTTACTTTTATATGTAAAGATATCTTTTAATTTAGCCTTCAAGAAAAGAAAGATTATGTTTTGTTTGGGACTTCCTTCATAAAAGAGAAAAGACTGCACGTTTCATACAATTATCTTACTAATATTATAAATGTGAAAGTTTGTGTGTTTGTTTGTTTGTTTGAAGTTCAATCACGCATTAACTACTGGACGGATTGGGATGAAATTTGGCATGATGATACCTCACATTCCAGATTAACATATAGACATATTCTTATCTCAAAAATCCTTTCGGCCTCCACCCCAGTGGCTCTGCAGTTCCCCATATTAACCTTATGAGTATTCATATTTAAAGGGAATTAAAGAATTTAGTCAGCTGTTTCAACTAAAAAGTTGGTTCTAAGATATAAAACAGCATTAAAAAGTTACAAGATTTACCAACAGGGTGCAGCACTATAATTTTTTGCATTTATGAAAACAGCTAATTTGAACTAAGCAGCAACAAAAAACTGTGATACGCAATGAGAAATGTCAAAGTAGGATTGTTTACAGTTATGTTTATGTTATTAATTTCATGAACACTTGTGATATTTTGCGGATTTTTAATAATTTATATTTGTCTATTGTTTATGTGAAGTGGTAGAACATTATAGCTATGGTAAATAACCGTAAATTTAAAGAAGCAAATTTTATCAAACTGTGTCTTCCCCCATTGCAAACGCAAAGCTCGAGTATAACTGCAATAAGCATTTTATACTTAAATGCCAACCCCGTACGAAGGACGGGTACTCTGCTAGTTTTCAATAAGTTAATGTGCAACTATGCGACAATATTTTCTAAAAAAATAACAGCCTACAGTGTAAAAGAATCGTGTGCACTGTGCAGCAAAATATGTTTCTTCGGGTGCTTTTAACAAACATTCCATAGTTTTAATTAGTAACAAATGTGTTTATGTTCCTGATGATACCAAGAACAAGGCTGGGCAGAGTGGATTCACTGTGAACCAGCCGGGTACGACTTGTAACTACAACCATAGATAAAACATAGCCTACTCCCTTGTGTTGGTTAGTCTATGCTACAAGATCAATTGGAACAATTGATGTTTTGAGCCAAAATATTCATATTGATATATAATCGGAAAATTTTATTAAAATATATAAAGCCATATGTCAAGTTAACTGACATAATTGAACCTCAAATCTAGGTCTTTGTAAGACAAAAGAAAATCACACAGTTTTAAACTTTAACCTAATTTTATACTCTTTATAAATAAACACGTCCTACATAACGGTTCTTGATATTTATCAATGTATCTTATCTAAACCCTTCCCACAATAATAGACTCGCACACAAATAACGACATCAAAGCAATCGTCACTTGCTCCATTGAAACACGAACGTCGATTGGCTGACATGACAGTGCAGCGTGGCCTCTCGACCAATGAGAACTCTTGTTACATACTTTGATTTATCTTAGATAGTCACCATTTACCATTCATTATAATATTACAAAATCGACATGGACTATGCGTATGGTGTTTTTCAATCAAAACTTATGTTATAGTAGCACTTAAAACTTCACTTAAACTCTTAAACTAGGTTGATAGTACAGATATAATATTGATCTACTTTTTGGTGCAATAGGCAAGAGCAAGCCTAACCCTCTGACTTTGACGATGTTGTAATTGAATCAAATTTTTCTAATGATGCGTAATGCAGGGATGAAACTGAACATTTAGACAAGTTTAGGTTATTTTTTTTTGTTATAAAAATAAAAATAATACATTTAAAGGTCTGACTTATTGATACAGACATTTTTTACTATAATTTCGTGTTGAGGACACGAAGCCGGTTGTCTGAGACTGAATTCTGACTGTCTGACATCTTGAAATGTAGATTGTATTGTGTTGTGCAATATCATCTGCCTGCAGGGAGAACAGCTGAAGCTACACTTTAGCTGGTTTGAAATAAATAGTGTGCTAAGTTGGTTACTAAAGTTGTTAGCGTAATTACAAAACTAATAGATATCAAATAAATAAATGTTAAAATAAAATATATCTATCCATCCCTGTCGGGTGTCGGTATCGGCGGAATCGGGTGAAATCGACGTTTGGCAATCGATTCTTGATACTGATATTCCTAGGATCCGCAATGTCCGAGTATCGGTGGTAGCGATAATTGACACTTCCCTATCTAAAACTCATTTTCGAGTCCTAAATTAGTTTTAAATATGCATCGGGACGCAATCGTTGCATCGGGACTTAATCGATGCATCGGTCTTTTTCTATGCATCGAGGCCAAATCGATGCATCGTGATTTCGATGCATGCTGAATCGAATCGCGATTCGATGCATCAAATCGAATCAATATCGCACACCCCTATCTAACACCTCTACAGACACTCATAGTTACTTACGGAAAATGTCCTTAAACTCATAAAAGTTACTCTCGTCCAATGAGATGACGGGGTGGCTAACCATGAGGTCTGGAAGGATACAGCTTTCTGCAACTGATGGGCTAACTATTGCAGGTAAGGGCTTCTCTGAGGAGATGAAGACATCACTTCGCATGCGAAACTCGAGGGGATCTTCCTCCCAATAAAGTGGAACAGACATGGGTACATCATTGAACACCATCCGTTGTCTGCTGATGTCTGGGCAGGCGAGAGAACACAGGTGGACCAAGCGGTTGCAGATCATGCGGCTACAAAATATTCACATCAAGTCTTTAGCTATATTTTAAAGGGGAATATTTTTGAGCATCATCATTGCTTGTTCAATATTTGTGTCCATACAGGGTGAATAAAAAAGTCAAGACTCCCCCATTTAATACATATTTTTCTAAGTTAGAACACAGTACAGTCTTTTTGTACACAGACACAGTATTTTACCTGTAGAACTTCACATACCCGTCTATCAGTACTGTGGACCTGGAACTAGGGGTGTGCGAGTACTCGAACCTTGGAGCTTTTTGGTCGAGCTTTTCATTATTCGGCTCGGCTCGAGGCATTTTGAAAAAGCTCGAAGTTCGAGCCGAGCTTTTAATACTAAGTCAAAACTAAAAAAAAAAAAAAACTTAATTTGGGTCGTAATTGGAAACAATGTTATCACAATTCTACGTTGTTCAAGCATTCGAGGTTTGATAAGCACGACCCTCAGCTCAGTCAAGACGCAATGATTATCGATCGTAATTTTGAGGAGATAGTAAAGAGACAAACTACCACCTATCGCGTTGTCTTTCTAACACAGCTATTCGTATCGTAATATACAACGCAGTGCGAGTGCGTGATTGGCTCGTTGCTATGACGACACACGGTTGCCGTGACAACCTACAGTGCGCACTGAGCACTGCGCCTTGTGTGGGAGGGGAGATTATACCAAACCAACAAACAATTTCAGGAATTCTATTTTGGGACGGATGAAAGATAAGGAAGAAACAAAAAGTGGTCACGTGTGCAAATATAGTGGGCGACACAATAAGGCTGTAAACAAGTATCAATCGTCGTGTCGTGTCGTTGTTCCTTGTTTGTTTACTTTTTCAGATTCCTTATCAAACGCCCCTATCTGCTATCTCTCTTTCTCTCTCCGCTCTCTCTAACAATGTACTGATTAAACAGATTGTGGTTGACGACTTTTCTACTTATAAGTTTCCCTGCGGTTATTTTAGTTCAATCAATCCCATAACCTTTCTAATGTTTATCAAAATAATTAATTATCTGTTTTGTATTTTATTTCCTTTAAACCAACCCCTATTTACCATCTGTATTTTATAGAATAAAATGTTTGTTTACAAAGTTTGACTGGCCACACAATTTTGTACCTATTTTATTTTGTATAAAGTAACAGTTACTTTGATGATTATTTAAATATCAATAAGTGGTGGAGCTGTAATGAATGCTTTTTATTATCAAAATAAGTAATGGATTATTAATTTTTGATAATACATGGGTCATTGAATACCATAATGTGATGTAGTTTCCTATTTGTAACTTGCAAATAATAATAATTGATAGTTAATCCTGGAAAATGAAAAATAGTGAATGCATTCATAACCCTGTTGTCAAAACAGCAACGCGGGTGTAAGGGTTTATTGTTTCAGAGGCTAGGGTGTTTCAAGGACAAAGTGCTGGGCCTCCCGGCTCAGGGGGGAGGGGTGGTGGTGAGACTGAGAGAGAAATGGGGGAGGAAACTGGTTTTGGCTATTTATTGATTAGTTCACCGACCCTTCTAGATAACAGAATTTAGTGACAGTGTTAAATCATCGTGTTCATTATTTCATTTCTTGTTTACTTTGTGTGTTATTCTATTAATTTTAGTGTTTTGGTATATTTCCTCTATATGTCAATTATATATTTTTAATATATAATTTTACTTTTTACTTTGTCTCTTCACCTTTTTGGATCCAAACCAATCATGTTCTTTTTTGATTAATACGATTCATAAAACAAAAATATTTTGTGCATGGAAAACAACAAGAATAATCACGTGTTTTTATATTTATTTATTTATACAAAATGGAATAAAATATTCATAGTAGTTACAATATACATATTTAATCGACTTGCTAGTTGTTTTGTTGTCATTCAAGATAGCGCTGTTCTGTTATGAAAGACAATCTGATTGGCTCAGTCTGCACTGCATATCTCGTCAGGCCTTCAATCATATCCTTTTATTTCTTGCATCTTAATTTAGTTCAGTTCAGTTCTTATCGTGATTATCTACTAATTGATGTCTTGACAATTCTCAATGTTTTTAGACATATTAAAATAATATTGTGTTTATTTAAAAATTGACTGAACATTATTATTATTATGCACTTTTTGAAGAAAAATGTTTAATAATTTATTTTTAGCGAATTTCCCTATAGGGAAGTAGCTATTACCGTAGGTGGCACGGTAAGACCTAGACCCGGGACCAATTTACTTTTTCATTTTGATATCCCCAGAGGCCAAAAACACCATTCGTTCAAATTTATATAATTTATATTTATATTTATATATATATATATAGATTTATATATTTATATATATATATATATAGATTTATATATATATATATATATATATATACGTCCGTGAACGCGATAACTTGAGTAATTTTTGTCCGATTTTGATGAAATTTGGTTTAAAGGTGTAAAGCGGGATAAACTAGAATGAGTTCGCAAACCAGCATGATCGGACCATGGGAACGGGGCTTTACGGGGGGTTTTATGGGGTAAAAATAGGTTTTTCTCACTTTTGACCCTCAAAACACAAAATTTCCCAATTTCTCTTTAGACCTTTTTAAAGAGCTTAAAAAAACAAATAATTTAGTATATAAAAGTATCTTGTTCGGTTATTAGTAACGAAGAAAATTAAAAAAAATTGTAAATTTAAAATTCCCATGTTATTCTTATGGAGAATATTGTCAAATGTTGTAGTTTGCTTATTTATGGATATATTTTGATCAAACTTGGCAAATTTATTTATTTTGTACTAAGCTATCAATATTTTACTCAAAAACACACTTTATTAGTTTCCTTGTAACAGCAAACCTAGGTACTCGTTAAACCTAATGTTATTAAAATATATTTAACTGAAAATCAATTCAGACAAATGGAAATTCGCTTAGTCGGCAGGTTTGCTGCGGCGGGGGTATTTTGATAATGTTCAGAATTCAGAATTATGTTTGAAATTCCAGATAGGGTTAGTTGCAAAACATTTTTTGCTGAAAATAAAATCATGACACTCTCTAATATTTTCATTTTTTACAATTTAGTTTTCGTTAAAGAGAATCTGAATAAATTTGTTCCTTGCAACTCAATCCATGGGTATATCACCAGACAATCAAAAGATTTATATATTCCTCAGGCCAGGCTATCAAAATTAATCAAAAGTTATAAATATTTGCAAATAAAACTATTTAATAAACTTCCAATACATTTTAGAAATCAGGAAAGTATTAATTTGTATAGGTCAAAATTATCAGATTGGCTTACAAGTCGTGCTTTTTATTCAGTTGATGAGTTTTTGCAGAATGAAGATTTTTTAACGCTTAAATGTGAGGCCAAGCAGTCTTGATGATTCTTTGTTCTTGTTATGGTCTTTTCCCTGTTAATTTTAAAGTTTTTATTATTACTGATACTTTATCCTTTTAAGATTCTTTTAACTTTATTTTAACATTTTCTGTAGAATATTTAATATTTTATTTAACATATGTAACAAAACATGTTGACCTTGTCTATTGTAATGTTTATATTACCAAACGACAATAAAGATTTATTATTATTATTATTATTATTATAAGGTGACGCTAGGAAAAGCTCGGCTCGAAAAAGCTCGAGCTCGAAAATATTTTAAAAAGCTCGGCTCGGCTCGGCTCGAGGTTGAAAATCACTATTCGCACACCCCTACCTGGAACTGGCTGATTCAGGCATAAATAAATTGGATGCTGCATGTAAAAACCACAATATAGCATACTCAAGATCGAACTATAGTAAACTTAGGACAAAGTTTTAGTGTCCCCTAAAAATGAGGGATTATGGGCTCAACTGGAGATTACTCTATATATAAGATGTATTAATCTTTAAACATTACCAATTTAATTTTAAACAGTATGATTTAAATTGGCATTCTGTCAATTACGTTTTTTTTACCCGCCCTTATGACAGTGTGTATCTGGATCCGGTTCCGGTTCCGACATTTTCTTGGATCCGCCCATCACTAATATAATTATTCATGTCGACCCGACCAACTACATTTGAATGTTGACACAACAGTTATTAAACATAATAGGAACAAAAGAATAATAATAAGTTAGTATAAAAAAAATTGTGAAACAAAAGCTGGCTGACAAGGAGAGTTTTGCAAACTCCAGGATCCTAAAACACAACCAACACATAGTTTACACCTATTACTTCATATTGTTCCCCGAGTTACGGAGTTCGGTCAAGCACAAAACTTGTGCAATGTTGTTCACTTATCAAATTTTCTCAATGCTCGTTAGCATTGAACCAAAAATCTTTTTGTATACTTTACTTTTTTAATACTTTTCAATGAAATGGCGACCATACAAATTAGGTATACCTAACCCTGAACCTTACCTACCTCAACTAAGCACCAAAATTCCTTTACATTGTAAGGTACAACTATACTCACTTTTTCCTAGTTTCTGTAATGCCATAATCTCTTGGGAAAATCCATGCTGGCCTCTCTGGGTCTTTACGTATTGCCAGTTTCTTCTGTTCAGCATCATACAAACAAGATGTTTTAATACACCTAAAGGAAATAAATCTTAGGTTAGAACAGGAGTGGTAATGTTTACCTTTTATATTGTTAATGAGTTATCAAATTCTGGTTGAAGGTGAAGGTGATAACGGAACATTTAAGAAAGTTTTTAAAATATATACATAACGTAAAACCTATATATTGACTTCCTCTCTGAAATAAATAAAAAACAATTGGCTATTCCTATGCCTTTTTATAGGAGAGCAACATTGATTTTAGAAATACACTACAACTCAACTTAGCTATTATAGGTATTATGGGTATTGCTTTATTACTGTATACCTATAGTAATTACACCTATAGGTATTACTTTATCAATTTGTGATGGGTGTGATGGGTTTATTTGACAGAGTGACAAACCTACAGAACAATAGACAAGATAAACAGCTGATTCCTCTCCCCCAAGGTCAACACCATCAAGTAGGCATCGGCTAACCTACAGTCTTATCAAACCTCGCAGTCTGGTTTTGTCCTTGGCCGGCCTCACACGCATGTACATGCTTTTGTATTATAAATGTTTTATAATACATTTATAATAATGGTGTTTATGTGTAGGGATGCGTGAAGTAATTTTGACGACGGCTTGTGCAAGAGAATATGTTTGACATATGATGACTGAAGAGAAGATTTGAAAATGGGGTTTTAACCCCAAAACTATAGTCATCCACGACAATATAGGACTGATTGACGACAGGTTAGTAACCTAATTTTATGTCAATAAATCAATCCTAGAGGCAAATTATGTATAAGCTATTTATGTATGTATGTACAAGATAAATAAAGAAATTTGACTATGACTATGACCATCCTCTTACAGACCTCTCTGTATGTTGGACACGGCTGGGAAAGTCTTTGAAACGTTGATCCGTTCCAGACTGAATTCAACTGCGGTTGCTACAGGAGACCTGTCCCCTGATCAGTACTGCTTCAGGAAGGGACGGTCAACGGTTGATGCTATTGAGGAGGTAAAGCGAGCCGTAATGAGGGCTGAGGATTATAACAACTATTCTCGTCGGGTTGTGCTGCTGGTGACACTTGATGTGCGAAACGCATTTAACTCCGCGAGGTGGTGCGATATGCTGCATGCTCTGGAGAACACCTTCCACGTCCCAGCATACCTCATGTGCATCATAGAGGACTATCTCCGGTACCGCCTCTTCTGGTGCTGCTCAAGGATCCATACTCGGCCCAGACCTCTGAAACGTCGCCTACAACCTAGGAGGATTAAACATTAAGGAGAGGACACGCTGTAGTTTCGTTGAAGCCAGCGTACTGGTGGGGTGGGGGGAGGCAGCGCTACTCTCCCGCCCCCCTCTCATACTGCGTTGTATGCGTTACTGGAAGATTTGGCAACAGAAATATCAATTATTATCTATTTAAAAATTTGACTTCATCATGCTACGAAAATTAAAAATTTAAATTCAAACCGTAATATTAGGAACCTATTAAGAGGAAAGTCATATTTATGAACCAATAGTACATTCAAAGGTGAGTAATTTACACAAGGATGACTTGTTTTTTAGAATTCGTTGTCCTTGTTTTTATTTTTTGTCATACTTATATTGTTTATTATTTATAATACTCTAACCAGAGCGCGGGACTCCGGTTCCTGGGGTCCCGGGTTCAAATCCCGCCATACAACCAATGGCTTTTACTGTTCATAAATTAAAACTCAAATCATGAGTAGTACTGTATGTGTATTTGAACATTTTCTTAAAGAGAAATAAAATAAGTTTTAATCCTTTAAAAGAATGATAAACGCACTTTGGCGGTCAGAAGACGCGATGATTGTTGAACATTTACACTTTTTACTTGAAGTTTCTAAGGGCAAACAGATCAAATATAGTTCAATATGATATTAAAAAATCAAGAACTTGATTGCCAAGAAATTGTTTTACTTTTTATGTTTGTAATTTAATTGTAACAGCTGTTGGTGTAAAAAAAGTTAGAGCGGCTTTGCATTTTTTCTTAACTTTGGCTATTTAAAATCACCTGCCTAGCACATAAATGCCTTAAAACTAGTAAAAAATTATATTAACAAATCGAGAAAACTATGAAAAATGCAAATTTAAAATGTATTTCACCAACCGAATTGAATTTTTCATTTTAACCTATAATTAGTATGATTGTTTTATAAACTGAAAAAATAAAAATAAACTTTATTGTAATTATTTTTCTAAATACCCCTTTTAAATATAGGTAAATATATATTTTTTATTTCGAGAAACTATTAAGGAACACGAATAAATTGTTAGTTTGTGCAGATACATCACATTTTTTTCAAAAACGTAATTAAAGCAATCATATGTTCAGAGTCCAGGCCAATTCTTTCAACTTTGATCTTCAATAATAAATAATAAATGCTAGTTTTTATAGGAATTATTGACACAGTTCGATAGGAAATTTAATTTACTTTCAGAATGCCATCGGTGAATAACACAGGTGCTTTAGTTTAGCGACAATTTTAATTCGAAACAGCGCGCGTCGCGTTTTTCCCTATCTCTCCCATGTTATAGCCGAGGCTTTTTGCCACTCTACGGCTCCGCGTGCCCCTCTAGTGTTCTGCTAAAACTGGCTTCACTGCAACATGTGTATTCCTATTCGCGTGCCCTCTCCTTAATGTTTAATCCTCCTAGCCTACAACAGACTCCTGAGGTCTGAGATGCCCAAGGAAACTGTTTTAGTTGGGTATGCAGATGACGTTGCGGCTTTAATAGCTGCACGTAGCGTTGAGCTTGCCCAGCTGAAACTAAATCGAGTCATGCGCACCATTAACGCATGGATGACAGATCACGGTTTCTCACTCGCTCTTAGAAAAACTTAGATTGTGATTTTGACTAAAAAGAGGATTGACACCATTGTGCCGTTTAGGGTGGGGAATGTTGAAGTCCAAACCGTTCGTTCCGCCAAATACCTTGGGGTCATGGTGGACAGCAAGGTCTGCTGGGGAGACCAGATCATTCCTACGGCAGACAAGGCCGCTAAGGTGGTTTCTTCCCTCAGTCGGTTAATGGCCAATGTCGGAGGTCCGCGATCCAGCCACATAAGGCTGTTGATGTCTGCGGTCCAGTCCATACTCCTGTACGGTGCGGAAGTGTGGATTGATCACTCAATAAGGAGGTATACAGGATGCGGCTCGCCCGAGTGCAGCGTCAGGCAGCACTCAGGGTAGCATCCGCTTACGGAACAGTGTCCGAATTCGCCGTCCTGGTGTTTGCTGGAGTCATACCCGTCAAACTTTCGGCGGCAGAGAGGAAGGCAATATATCAGCAGGGTGGAGAGGACCAGGCAAGAAGCGAGGAGCGCTCCTGCACCTACCGGCTCTGGCAGGAGAGCTGGGAACAGGAGACGCGGGGACGGTGGACCAGGCAACTGACTCTGGAAGTCCAACCTTGGGTAAAACCGGCGGCACGGCGAGGTGGATTTTTACCTCAACCCAATTTCTGATAAGTCACAGATTTTTCCCATCATACCTGTTCAGGATGGGCAAAGCTGTGTACCCGATTGTATCTACTGCCCAGGCATTCCCGACGACGCTGAACACACTTTTTTCTGCTGCCCACTTTGGGAAAGGTCGTGCCCGTAGGTTCAATACAACATAGGACTGCTGTCAATGGAAACGGTCATCCAAAAGATGGCGGAGGATGAGGACAATTGGACCTGTGTGTCACATTTCTGTCCAGGGTATTCTCCGCACCAAGAAGATTGACCTTGATCGAGATGCGGTCTAGGGTATAAAATAACAGAAAGCCGGAAACAGTGGGCAAATGTTGGCCCGACTTGATGAAATGTAAAAAACAATCTGTGTTCAACAGAGTAGAGGGTTTTTTTTTTAGTGAGTAGTCTGATCCTTCCAGGAGTCTCACACAACAGGTTGGCCACCTGTGTGCGTAAATGCATTTTCTCTCCTCTCCCTTAGAAAAAAATCTTAGTGGAAACAGAGTAAAATGGCTGAGTGAACTTGTATCACTCTATCATACAGCAACTATATGGTGTCTTTACTTAGACAATTAACCCTTCCAGGGCTAATTAAATAAAGGACTGGAGCTCAATTATTTTTGCCAAAATGAAAAAAAGACTTTGACAAGTGGTCAGTTGGTGGCTCAGAGGGTAGCGTCATGGTCTTCGGGCCCAAGGCAGCGATGTTGTGGGTTCGGATCCTGGTCACTGCCGCAAACATATTTTATCAGTACAATTCACCTTTGTACTTTACCGGCTAACCCCTTGCTTTGCTGGATACGTTCCACGCAGGGGCAGTTAATAATGCAATATAATTTTTGTTTTCAAACAATGTATAGTCCTATCAATTCGTTTTTTGGTCGGATATATAAATATACTAGCAGAGTACCCGTCCTTCGTACGGGGTTGGCATATAAGTATAAAAAATGCTTATTGCAGTTATACTCAAGCTTTGCGTTTGCAATGAGGGAGGACTCAGTTTGATAAAATTTGCTTCTTTAAATTTACAGTATTCTATAGTTACACATCTACCATAGCCATGATGTTTTACCACTTCACCTAAACAATAGAGAAAAATTAATTACAAAAAATTTGCAAAATATCACAGATTATTCATGAAATTAAAAATATAAACATAACTGTAAACAATCCTTTTTTTGACAGTTAGTTCTCATTGTGTATCACAGTTTGTTGTTGCTGCTTAGTTCAAATTAGCTGTTTTCATAAATGCAAAAAAATATAGTGCTGCACTCTGTTGGTAAATCTTATAACTTTTTAATGCTTTTGCGTATCATAGAACCTACTTTTTTAGTTGAAACAGCTGACTAAATTCTTTAATTCCCTATAAATATGAATACTCATAAAGTTAACATGGCGAACTGCAGAGTCACTGGGGCGGAGCCCGAAAGGATTTTTGAGATAAGAATATGTCTATATGTTAATCGGGAATGTGAGCTATCGTATTGCCAAATTTCAGCCCAATCTGTCCAGTAGTTAACGCGTGTTTGAACTACAAACAAACAAGCAAACAAACAAACACACAACCTTTCACATTTATAATATTAGTAAGATAAGATATATCCATCTTTAGCCCAGAAAAGAAATTTCTTGGGACGGATATATTCGTTTCCCGCCTGGAACGTAAGCGTAGATTGATGGGCTATCTGTCCATAGCCCAGGAAGCGTTAATTACGAGGAATGTCTTTAAAGTAAGTACGGTACCGTTTTAAAATCAAATAAAAACCAGTACACTTATTGCAATAATTATATTTTTATTTGAGAGCCAGTATCTTAATCTACGGTACTTTTTAAAATAATTTCCCATCAATATTAAGGCATTTATCATATCGTTCCACAAGCTTTTGCTATCTCTTTCTCAAAGAATTCTGCAGCCTGACTGAATAACCACTGTGTCACTGCCGTTTTGACCTCATCATCTTTGTCTAGGCACTGACCACCAAGATGTTGGCTATATGGAGGGTGGTCAAATTGTTTCCAGCAAAATGATTCGATTCTTGCATTCGATTAGCCACATGTGAACAGGCATTACCGTGCAGCAAAATGATCCAATTGGACAACATTCCACGCTGCTTGTTTTGGATTGCCCGGCGCAATTTTTCCAAGGTCTCACAGGTATTGAGATAATTGTGTAACCATGAGGCAAAAAATCTACCAGTAACACCCCCTTTCTGTCCCAAAAGACAGTACCTACACATCAATTTTCGGGCTAAAATCGTTTGCTTAAACTTTTCTTTGGCAAATGTGTATGCCGCCATTCCATGGATTGTTTTTTTGACTCTGGCGTAACCTAAGAGACCCATGTTTCATCACCTGTAACAATCATCTCCTCCTTGTAGCGCTCAAGAAAAGTCAATGCACTGTCTAGACGCTTGGTTTTGTGCACCTCAGTCAAAATTTTCGGCACCCAGCGTGAGCACAATTTTCGGTACTTTAATTTTTCAGTCACAATATCATAAAGGACACTTCTCGAAATTAAAAGAACTTCAACACATAATGATGAGATCGTAAACCTCAGTTCTCTATAACTTTTTCAACGACTTTACGCACCAATTCACCAGTAATGGCAGATGGACGCCTGGTGTGTTGCTCATCAGGAATTTTCTTAAATTTATACTTCATACATTCATACTTGGCTTAAAACACCTACTTTGTATGTTCGCCATTTCAATAAAAAGTATTATAAAGTATTAAATTTGGTGCAGCCGTCTTTAAATGCCCTTACCATTTTGTCACTCATTTAATGTTCTCACCATACACTTCACTAATCTGTCAATGAATTTCAATGGCTTTCACACCTTTAGCACTTAAAAAATAATTACAGCGTGCACTTCACAGTTAGCGGCAGTCTCAATTGGCGGCACCATTTTAAATGCTCGAAGTCGGATGTAAACACGGCTGATTGTTGCAGAATTTCCGGCGCAGGCTTGCCAATAGATGCACATACACAAATAGACACAAATAGATGCACAGCGCAAATGTCCACAATGCCAATCGCAGCGCTGGAACGGAGAAATTTAAAAACGGTACTAGCATAAAAAAATGCCTCGTATTATGTTTTCCTATAATAATGGCTTAAAAAATGTTAAATAGTTAGTAGATCGATGGAAGGATGGCTTCAAACCACAAAATAGTCGACTTAGAGGTTACTTTTTAAGTGGAAGACACAAACTTTAAGACTTGGATAAAAAAATAATATCTAAATTAGACCCAAGTCAATAACAGATAGGGGCCTGTAAATTAATGATTTTTGACATGTTTTCAAACATTTTATCATTGTTCCTTGTTATTTGACCTAGCCACCAATGGTTAATGTAGGATAATAATTAGGATTGCACAGTATCCCATTTAAACGTAAGATAGGGACATACAAAATAAAATAAGATAGTGTTGGTTGAGTAGGGCAGAATGCAGTTTATCAAGTGTTTTGTTATGAGCACAATTCCCTTGTCAGATTTTGTAACATGAAACTTTTGAAATCCATTACCTTTTCACAAGAGAATCTTGATCTTTTAGTTTGACCTTGTCAATCAATGCTTCTATCTGTTCGGGTAGTTTGTCAGTCTCAAGTTGAACAGTATTGGTGAGAACCAAAGCCTGCTGCATTCCTTCCATAAGAACAGACCCATCGTGGTGGATGTAACAAGGCTGCTCCTTGTACATGGGGTGATTTTCATCTTTCAACAATGGCTTAGGAGCAAGTCCAACAACGGTAGAGAAACTGAAACATGAAAACAACATTAAATTTTAATAGAGTAAAAAAATGAATAGCCTAGGCCTAAAGTTATGAATCTTTATAAACATCTGTCATTGATTTTTTTGGACTCTTTTGGGACCTCAACACAAAAAAGTAAATTGGTTCCGGGTCCAAACCTTACCATGAGACCTACTGAAAATCTACGCATTAGCCTACTATAACTTAGGCCTACTGTTGGAAAGATATTTTCCTGTAGATGTGCAGAATCCCTTCATAAATTAAAATAGGCTCAAAAATAAGCACAAAAATGAATATCCGGTAGGCCTACAAAATTTATGAAAGATTAACATGGACCTTACAAGTTGCCATGCTGGTGACGAAATAACAACACACTAGGCCTAAAAACAGAAAATAAAAACAAATAGAAGAAATTCCAATTGCATGTTTTATTTACAGCGTAGGGTAATAATAGAGAAGTCTATAAATTACATATTTTTTATAGAGTTTTTTACCACTGGACGAACTGTAGTGTTAATAAATTCTTAAAGAAACCAATTTTGAAATTTATTTTTACAATAGAAAATAAATTATGTAGGCTATATAAATCGATATATCGAATCCAACAAGTTTCTATATATAGATTTTCATCCGATAATACATCGTAGGTAAGTTACTCTGCGGAACTGTAGGCCTACCCACGAGCTCCGTGAAAAGTGACTCTTTAGGCTTCAACTGATAAGTAAATAGGGATAGTACATTGAAGGAGGATAAGCAAAACGCTGTTTGGTGCTCCCCTAACACATATTTTCAATAAAAATAAATTTGCCTGGAGAAAAACTTTGTTGTGACCTTAAAGGATTAAGTCAAGCAGTTTACTTGTCAAAGTAGTTGATGTGGCACAACACTTGCTTGGCCTAGCCTACCTGTGTGGAGACTACTTAGCACACACATAAGTTACCTATCTATGATCTAGAATGAGTTTAAAAAATGATATCAATGGTTAGCTAAGTTTACAGGCTAGACTAAGATAGGGTACTCACTCAAAATTTGGTAGAGGAGTTTTGACATATTCATTTGCATCAATGAACTCAATATTCCTTTCTTTTAAAACTGATATGGATTGAGTCTCAACGACACGCCTTTTCCTTGCTGTTTTCCACTGGTTTCTCATGAGTCGGTATAAATTATGTTTCGTAAGGGGTAGTGTCAATCTCATGGCGGAGGATTAGGGCCTATAGTAATTAATTCTAATCTAACCTAACAAAAGTTTTTAACTAGGCCTTAATATCAGAGATAATATCTTATGATTATACACTGCGTTTTCGTAGGGCTAATTCATTTTGTAGCATACACAAATAAAAACCATTAGGATATCCCAACTAAAAATAGGCCTAGCCTATTTTAGCATCTGAAGAAAGCCTTATTAATTGTTGATTATGTTTGAGTAGCTTTGTTTTTCAATTATTTCGGGGCTCCTGCCATTTGATAGTAGCCTATTACGGTAACTGCAGAGATCACAATTTTACTAAACGGTAGTTAATTTAACACGACCTATTCACTGAATAAATGTGATTCCAAATTTTAACCACAACCATAAACACTACACACTAACACACTACGCTCACTACAAAGTACTAAGTCACAGACAGATCAATCCCAAATCCGGTCTCAGTCTCTGTCGTCTCCGTGCGTGAGTCCGTCGTCTGCATATCCTTCAGCCTTCAATCCTTCCCTGCTTCCCTCTTCCCTTGCTTTTCCTTTCCTTTCAAGCAGTGACAGAAGAAGAAAGGGGTGGGTTCCATAATATCGACAACCGTAGAAATTGATCGAAACTGAATTATTCCCAGTTTGTCGACACTGGAATATTCCCACTTAACCGACATCCCAAATAACCGACGTCGCAAATGATCGACACCACAAATTGTCGACATCCCATATTGTCGACAATGAAATAGTTTCACTATGTCGACACTGAAATAGTCCCAGTATATCGACAAGCTCCCGTTCTTCGGAGCTACTCTTGAAAAGGAGTTGTTCTAATTCATCGTTCAGTTCCTCAACTTACGAGTCGCATCGCATCGCAATATTTAATTCCGAATCCGAATTCCGACGGACAATGATAATGAATAATGATAAGCTGGCCATTTTGACTAAGCATTAAGTTATTACTTTTATATTGTAAATATTTATCTTTTTTATTTCTTTCCTTGCTTACAGGAAAATTGGTGACTCGTGTGTTACAAACAATAGTTTTTAAGGGAAACAATGTGAAATAATTTGTATAGGTAGGTTATGTAGGCTAATCAACATGATAACAGACACTTTAGGTAAGTCACCAACAAGAAGGTAAAGTAAGACACCAACAAGAACTTAAGATACAGCTTATTCGTAGGCTAATTCTGAATCATCAAGCAATATTGTAGCAAATGTTTGAATAGGCATATCCCTAGGCTATTAGGATTGTCTCTTATTCCCATTGACCCAGTGTCAACTTTAAGAATTTGTTATTTAAAAATATGCGGCTGCACTTTAGTTTATGTCCTTTATTCATTCAAATGAAAGATATTAAGGGTACAGTTTCTTAACTGGGCTATGCTAATATCGATTGCAACTATCGTTTCGATTTGTAAACCTTCATGCGATTTTTTCACCATCAGCAAGTTTGGTTGGTTAGGTTAGGTTATGATAGTTTTATTTTGCAATAGATGTATTTAAAAATATCGATTACTAATCAATATTTTCAATTCGATAGTTTCAATCAATATTAGCATAGACCAGTTAAGAAACTGTACCCGATATGAATACATAAGTTAGACTATTTAATATTTTGAATATTTCATTCCGTTAGTTAGGTTAGGTTTCACCCTAACATTACCCAAAATTGATATAGGCCTAAGTTTATCGAATGAAATAATCAATATGACTGGGACGGGTGGTGTCGTCCTGTAATCCAGCTACTACCGTAGGAGGTCACGAATTGTGGATATTTATAGGCATGCACTGTGGATGTGATACTCCCTGGTGTGGATTAACGTCCGCTTGAGTGAGTACTACGACTATCCGCAGTACTATCCTGATAATTAGACCAATTCGTATAGGCTATAGACCAAGGCAATAATGTGGTTTGGATTCCACTATAAACTGTAGGTCCCTTAGTTGCCATTAGCTGTATGGGCTATTAATTAACAGCTGTGTCTAAGGAATGTCGGCCTTAGTCACTAACAAGACTACAAGATCGCGCCACTCATCCTGATCCTACACTCATTTCCATTCGTACTTGGCTTAAAATACCTACTTTGTATGGTCGCCAAGTAATAAGAAAGAAAGTATTAAAGAAATATATTCATTGGAATGAGTGTAGGACGTAAACTTAAGTGCTGCAAAATATTCTAGAGCTGTTTGTATTTGGTGTAAGACTAGACTTGGATTATATCATTCATTGTTGATGACATCAATGTTAATTTTATAGATGATCCTGGAGCAAAGGCTGTAATTTGACCTGAACCCAAATTGGTCTATATTTTAAATATTGTCTTGAACCAATAAGTTAAGAGGACTAACCTTTCTGGACGACATTGCCATCGACATCACAGCAGATGAGAGAGAAAGAGAGACCAGAGTTGTGGACCCTGGAGGCAATTACCATACTGCCGTGATAATGTTCCTTGGTCTAACCATAACTTAAGTGAGGTGAGTCAACATTCTTTCCCCTTTGTGATAGATTCTAGGCTATGTTTGTTAACTAAGTTATTCAAAGTTCAAATCGGTACTTTGGTAAGTGTTATCCGGAGGGCCTACTGTCGATATTTGGGTGGGTTCCATATTATCGACAACCATAGACACTGATCCAAACTGAATCATTTGCATTTTGTGTTGAACAGAGTTTGAACAACTAATTATTTATATGTTTTATGGTAACTGTAGGGAAAATATAATGTGTAACACAAGTGCAAACTGCCATTGCTGCACTCGACAAACTTTCCACACTCGCCTACGGCTCGTGCGTAAACATTTCTCTCATGTGTAGCAAAGTGCCACTTCGCCCACTAGTTACCTACACAAATAAACTATTATTAATAGTTTTTGGTGGAACATAAGGATAATTAATCTTAATGCAAATTTATAGTTTTTTTATAAACATTCAAAACTAGGCCCCTACTTAAAATGCATTTGGATTACATCTCGAAACATGTTGTTTGGAAATGTCTTAATTAGGCTAGAGCTTGCATTTTTGCAAATTGGGAAATAACAAAGAATTAATGTTGAACGCGTTCTCTACCGAGCGACGCTCATATGCGTCAGTCCGGTCACTCCTACAGACCAAAAGGAATGATCATGACGTTGCTTACAGACCAAGTGATATAGGAATAACATTGCCAACAGACCAAAAGAGAAATATCGTTTAAATGGACTAATTGACTTCATATTGACCTTAAGTGAATTAGTAAGCAATAAATATTGTTTTTATTTATCGTTTTGAGCAAATTTTAAAACGCCGCATATATGCGTCGGTCAGTCTATTTAATAAAATTCAGATAAAAAGATTACCTACATTTTCGTTTCAATAGACCAGGCGACGCACGTTTAAGCGTCGTTTTAAATTTGGTTGTTTCAAGCATTTACTCAAACAAATAAAGAAACTCCAAACACTCGCCAAAACTGCAAAGGTTATAACGTTTACATCTGTTCTGAGATGTCGCGGAATGCACAATGTAAACAACAATGTTGCCAACTGTTGTGTGACGTAACCAATCGTCATATCCACACACCAAGCGACGCACATTTGCGGCAGATATCCCTCTAGACTGATACGATAAAATCAGGGCTTTAAAATAGACCGTTGCTAAGAAATACGCTGATTAATAACATTGAACACCGACGCAAGTGTGTGTCGTTAGTCTATTTCAATATGATCAGCTGACGCAAATATGCGTCGGTGGTCTATTGTGAGAAATGAGTCGACGCACAATTGCGTCGCTAGTCTATGCAAACGTAAATTTTATATAATTGTGGTAGCGAACGTGTTAAACCAATTTATTTTGCCTAAACCATATTATTGTTACAAATTATAATAGTTGTACTAACTTGACCCAGATTTGCTCAAACATTTTCCTATTATCTGTACCTATTTGAATATTACAAATATAGAAAGGAGTGTACAGACTTGTATTATTTGTTGGACTCAAAGTATTTGTATAACACTATTTTTTGCAATATTTCTGTACAGAACTGAAGCCTACCAGTAAAATGGGGGCGTTGTAATTAATATCCTCCGACATTGGAGAATACAGGGGAGAGGTGTCAGAGGAAGAGGAGATGGAGGATGGGGCGAAGTAAAGACTAAGATTGAAGAGAACTAACTAATGGTAAGTTTTGCCATTTACTTAAATTTAAAACTTATAAATCCAGGGCCGTGTCCATTGCCCCCAAGCCTATTTCGCATAACCCTCCTGAATTACTAGTATTTAACCAGCATTTTAACTGGAGATGTGCCCAAAAATTTGCTTTTGTTTTTTAGGAAATGTAGGCTATATTTTACGACTACCCGCTGGTAGTCGTAAATTTCGATCACGCAATCTTTGCAGATGCTTTCGGCTATCATGAGAATACAAGACAAACTTGGATTATTGTACCCCCTAATTCTAACAGATTTTGGGAAAATTTTCCAAGAGAAAAAGCATTCTTTTGAGGCCCCAAGTGAGTCCCCTTCCCAGGCCGAAGCCCTTGGCAATCGCAGTGTCCACCGTTAGGGGAATACGGCCCTGATTTGGAGGCCTATGTTGGTGTGGGGTCTGGTGCAAACCTCCCCCCCCCCTCAGTACGCCACTGAGTACATTAAATAATGATAGAAGTATGCATAAAAAGACTCTTGTTCTGTTCAGAATACTGTTTTTAATATTAATTTTTGTTCTGTTATATCCAGGCCTGATGACAGGGTGGATCGCGATGGAGGCATGGAGGTTGGGGGAGAGGAGGCTGAAGAAGTGGAGACAAATCAGTTTAGATCCATTCTGTTGATTAGTTTAACATTTATTTTGAACATCAGTATTTAAATTTTTTCTCATTTAGATTATTAAATTAAGATATTTTTATTGTTTTTATGAAGATGTTCTCTTACATTTTTAATATTTGTTTGTACTTCTGCCTGGTAAAAAAATACTGTTTTCCTACTGTTACCTAACAATGTACATGTTCTCTCACTGATTTGAGAAAGCAAAGTGGCCAATTCGCTCATCAGTGAGACAATGTTAACATTGTCTCACTCTAATTACTTTGTCTCACTCCAGATTTGCAACGTGAAGGCACAAAATAGTGAGCGCGTAACATGCAGACAAGGTCGTATGTGCGCGAAATACGTTGGCAGCACTGGCTGTAAATCAGCTGGTCAGCTGTTTTACTGTTGTATCATTAAATGTCATATTAAAAGTTCACTTCTGTGTAAAAATATGTTACGTTTCTTTACCAATTTATTTGTTTTATGGTAACTGTAGGAAAAATATAATGTGCAGCTCGAGTGCAAAGTGCAATTGCCTCACTCGAGAAACCATTCCTCACTCGCCTACGGCTCGTGAGTAAGTATTTCTCTCGAGTGAGTCAATTTATCACTTTGCTCACTAGTTGCACAAATAACTATTATTATCTTTGTTAAAATGATTACTTTCACTAACTGACCTTGTCTTGGGTAAAAAGAGATATCTTGATATTTAACTAGCAGGGTGCCTGTTCTATGGGCGGGGATTGTATAAGTCAGTAGAAACCTTCTTATATTTCGATACTTGGTAAATTAATCATTTCCAACTTTATATAGTATAGATCGCTATTCCTGTATTGATGTACTGAAATGAATAAAATTATATGAAATGAAATGTTGTTTTTTTTTTATATATTTTGATTACACACTATTAAAAAGACATAGCAATATTCTAAAGTTTATAACAGCTTATGTTTGTGTTTTTATTAATGATTAATTGTGACTTTTGAGTGATTGAAGGATTTGTGATTTGGTTTTAAGGAGATTGATGTACCTAATTTTGTATCTATACTTATTAAATAGGTACGCAAGCAGGTTTTTGTGACAATTACTTCTCCGAAATTACTGAACCGATTGACATGTTTTTGGTGTCATTGGAAAGAGCATAACGTAAAGTTGTGCAAGAAACTTTCTTTTTAGGGAAATTAGAGAGTGAGGACCTGGGGCCCTTTAAAGTTTTGTATTTCTCCATAAGATTAACATGGGAAACAAATATTGTTATGAAACTCCAGCTGTTGTCAGAAATTTAAAGTGAGAAGAAGAACATATGTTAATTATAAAATTGTGACAGAGAGGTTATGCAGAAAATCAGGTAGTTAATGGTTATTTAGTGCTATTAAAATAAAGACTGAAGTTTGTAAACGTACTGGCGACAATGGGTGATACCACGCAAACTACATTATCATTGACAAAGACCAACATGGACAACCTATTGTGGCTATAAGTGGGAAACATTTCTACAACACTAAAAGCCTATGGTGGAAGGAAAAAACATAGGTGTGCTATTCCCGTCATATTCTGACGTCACTTGGATTGCAAACAAAAGATCACCTGATTGTAACTGTCAAATTAGTATGTAATTGTTTTGATTTGATTGTTAATGTTTTTTTATAAAAACACACATTATAACATCAGAATATGACGGGAATAGCACACCTATGTTTTTTTCCTTCCACCATGCTAAAGCCAGATCAGCTTTTGAAACATGATAAGATATTTACAAGAAATGTTGATTATGTTGAACTGGTAAGTTACATTGTGAGTATTATCATTAGTTACGTAATCTTTGAGTTGACTCTTTTAGACTCATCGGAATTTATAAATTATATTTGTTCTTAAACAAGTTATTTGTTTTTAAATAACTCCTTTATGTACTTCTTTGCGATTGCTCGATTTCAAGCAACATATACCTAGTTCAATTTATGGGTCAACTTTTTTTTATAAGAACCGGGTTTTGTTATTCATGTAACTATTGGAACACTTTTTATTATAGTATCCATAATAGGAGTAAAAAAATTAAACATAACTAGAAAACACCAGGTAGGATTCGAATCAGCTGCTTGATATTGACATTTTGTGGACATTGTGTGACTATTTTTATATACAGGGTGAATTTTAAATGAGTTCCCCCCCTACTTTTTTCTACATTTCTTGAGATATCATCTCCGGACCACGTCAGATCATTGTTGAGAAGTAAGTACTTCATTTTGACTGGATATACATTTTTGGCCGCCATCTTGGATCCGCCATATTGGATACAAAGTTTTTTTTTCAAATGTAAAGGTAGGGTTGTGACCCATTATTCCAAACTAAAATTGTACGCTGATTACAATGCCGCAATTAGTTTTTAAAAATCTTGATCTGTTCTAAAGTTATGAGGACTTTTTATAACTTTATTTTTAGCGCATTTTAACATTGTGCATTAACAAACTAAGACCATAATCTCAAAATAGTGCTAGATAAAGATAAGTATACACTCCCATTCATTGTCGACATATTTTCACTTGGTTATGATGGATGTAGTTTTTTCAGCCGCCATCTTGGATCCGCCATTTTGAAATGTGATCATTTAATTTAAATATGAAGGTGGTGTTGTGACCCATCATTTTGAACTACTTTTTTATGCTGGATTCAATGCCGCAATCCGTTTTTGGTTATCAAGCTTTCTTAAAGAAATATTAAAATACTCTTATTTAAAATTTCAATATTTCAAAATTCAAAGATGCAAATGAAAAACGGATTGCGGCATTGAGTTCATCATAAAAAAGTAGCTCAAAATGATGGGTCACAACACCACCTTCATATTTAAATTAAATGATCACATTTCAAAATGGCGGATCCAAGATGGCGGCTGAAAAAACTACATCCGTCATAACCAAGTGAAAATATGTCGACAATGAATGGTGGTGTATACTTATCTTTATCTAGCACTATTATGAGATTATGGTCTTAGTTTGTTAATGCACAATGTTAAAATGCGGTAAAAATAAAGTTATAAAAAGTCCTCATAACTTTAGAACGGATCAAGATTTTTAAAAACTAATTGCGGCATTGTAATCAGCGTACAATTCTAATTTGAAATAATGGGTCACAACCCTACCTTTACATTTGAAAAAAAAACTTTGTATCCAATATGGTGGATCCAAGATGGCGGCCAAAAATGTATACCCAGGCAAAATGAAGTACTTACTACTCAACAATGATCTGACGTGGTCCGGAGATGATATCTTAAGAAATGTAGAAAAAAGTAGGGGGGGAACTCATTTAAAATTCACCCTGTATATTTCAATCTACTGATGAGGGAATTAAATTAACAACAATTTATTTAGTATAAAAAGTATAGTTGACTTCCAATTAAAAGGTTTATTATAATAAAATAACTGGATTTGTAATAAACAACTATTATTATAATAAAAAGCTATTGACATCATTTTTTATGTTTATGAACCATACCGTTTCTGTTCTAATATCGGTGATAACAGTTACAGTAATTCCTTTTACGCCACACTACATTATTTTGATGAACTTTCCACGCAAGGATTTAGTCCAGAAAACAGCTGTTTGCCGCCAGCTTATTCAAATGGAGTTTCATTGCGTAATACTGTTCTGCAATGAGTTTTACCGGACACCTATCAGCTGATTATACTGTATTTTCGTGGCAATTAGTGGTTATAAACAAAAACATAACCTCTCTCAGAGGTTATGACTAGTGTTTATTAGTCCTTTAGTTGGTGCAAATATATAAGGATTTGTACGGATTAAGTAGTATGGCGTAAACTATCGTACGTAACTCGTCCAAAATGTGTGTACCGGACTCGTATGGTAATCCCGTACTCGACTTCGTCTCGCACGGGAACGACCACACTCGTCCGGTAAACACTTATTTTCAGGACTAGTAACGTAATATACTATTACCTACGACCTACGACCTTTTTTTAAAGTAGCCGTTTCAGTTAAGTCCTTTAATAAGTCAACAGCTGATCTTGTGTCTTTGTTTTTATGTCAAATACTGCGTCCATAAAGATTACATACAAATTTTTAGAGCCAGTGGGGGGGATTCCTTAGAGAGTTTTTTTAACGCCATATAGATGTTAGCACTCACCGATATATATGGTCTTTATCACCATGCAAAATTTGAAAATGATTACTTCAGCCGTCTAGAAGGAGATTGCATATTACGAAATGCATAAGAGTCAACGTATAAGAGCTTCGCTCAATGAGTTATACGATTTTAGATTTTTTTAACATAGGGTAGGTAAGGTGTTTATATATTTCCAGCACAAAGAACCATTTTGAACAATATTTTTGAAGATTTTCAGTGTTTGTTCTTGTGTCTGATTAACATGGATATGGATGTCACTGAAATAGCCACCCTGGAAAATACATCACACAAACTGACCTTGTGAAAATAGGGTCAGGAAAGTAAAAACCTGTCATTGTTAGTGTCAGCCCGGTTTTCTGGCTAGTCAAACTAGCCTATAACTGAATAAGTTACACACACTTACCATGGTTGGAATATGCAGGCAACCTTGTGTTTGCATTGAACAGTATGACAGAACAAAAACCAATAACTTTGTGGTAATGCAAACATCTATACAGTAATGAGAATTGAATTGAGAATCAAAGATTCATAATTATGATTATAATTAATAATTCAGTAATAGAGTAAACAAACAAACAATAAATCTTCATAAATATAATTAGAGTTTTGTCTGTAAATTGCTCAGAATTATATATTAACACGTTTTTTATTAGCTCGCTTTCTTGTCTGGTACAAATTTTGCAATCAATTTTATACTAAGTTCCCAATGAGCTATAGAGACTTGAAACTTGAAACATAGCTCACAAATGGATGACAATGCAATATTATTTAATTTTCATATTTCCCTTGTGCTACGCCCCATGGGCATGGGCTTGTTTTTATTAAGCCGCGTTTACACCAAAGTTGACAGTCAAAAGTTGTCAACCAAAAGTTTACAACCAATAGTTGACAACTAAAAGTTTACAACTAAATGTTGCTCCTCACTA